AGATAAAAATATATTTTAAAGTTATCACAAAGATTTGAAAGTATTTGAAAGTATTTTAAAGTTATCACAATATTTGAAAGTATACTTTATTTTGATTGTTTAGAGCCTCGGCTGTATACAAACCGCACCCTTTACATATTGCTAAAGCTTAAAAACATAAATTAGTACATATCCTAAATTTTTTAATTGTAGCATTAATAACCCAGAATTGGCCAAAGAGCCAAACCTTTACCCCGGTCAAAATTCCAAAGCCCAAAGTGAATATGGTCACATTACTTTCATGTACTTACTAAGAGCTACAATTCCACTCTTTTCCCTATTATTCTATTGAGAGAGCGGAAGTGAAAAAAGGAAAAATAAGGCAAATAAAGCTAACAAAAAAACTCTTGTTTCATGTGCCCACTATTTAAAGCTAAGGCAAATAAAGCTAACAAAAAAACTCTTGTTTCATGTGCCCACTATTTAAAGCTAGATTTCACGTCCTTCTGTTCAACATTGAAACAATAAAAACTCTCATCCTTTTATTCTTGTTTTATTGATTTTATTCACGTTTTACTGAGTGGGATGGATGCACATGCATGAATTCCTGCACTTTGAAAGACATGCATTGGCGTCCCTTTCAAGGTATGTCGGGATTCTTTTTCCCCCAATAAAAGGGAAATTTTCATATAGAACCTTTATTTTTCACATTATTTCATGGCAGACCCTCCTTATGTTTTTTTTTAAAAAAACTTCTAAAGATTTCATTTACCCCATCATCTCTTATCTCTCTTTTTAATTAACTTTTGGCCATAAAAATTAGCTTCAATAAATCTTTTTATATCATTTCAACCCAAAAACCTTTTTAACCTTTGTTTCCCTTTCCACCATTAAAAACGTTTTTGAGTTGAAATGATATAAAAAGATTTTTTGGGGTTAATTTTTATGATCAAAAGTCAATAAAAGAGAGAGATAAGAGATGAAGGTGTATGCTGAAATCTGTAGGGTTTCCTTATACCGCTTGAAAAAAAAATGGGATGAGGGTCTACAGTAAAATAATATGATGAATTAAAATTCTATACGAAATTTTCCCTAGATAAAATATATTGGGAGAAGTGTGTCTTCTACCATCTATAATTTCGAGATCCATTATGAAATTATTATTTCCAAAAAATAAAAAATTGGATTTTGAGAGTTTGTGAGTACTTGGGGACACTTCAAAAAAAATCACTGATTTGACTTTGAACAGACTGGTGAACCCATGATTTGAGTCCCTCCCTAAATAGGGCCTCAAAGTTATGGGTGTAAAACTAACATTGAAAAGGTTTTAGAGAAATTTAAGTAGGGGCAACATAGGGTGGGGGAGAAATTTAAGTAGGGGCAATATAGGGTTGGGGGGGGGGGGAGGGGAGAGAGGAACGTTTTTTACGTTTAAACGAAAAGTACATATCCAGTGTTCAAATTACCAAATAGCTCTTTAAGTTGTCTCCCCTGTCTGGTAATACAAACACCAAACATGGGCTATTCTTTCGTTGTTTTTAAAGATGGCAATTAGAGAGAGAAAAAGAGGCAGAAAGAGATATACAAGAATGGCCATGGACCAAAAGCTCCTCATCCAAATAAAGAGAAGAAGAATGCAAGGACCCCAACATAGATCACAATCCTAAACCCACCAAAATTTCAGTTGATTTTGTTTCCAAAGCCCATGACCCCATCCCAAAGGAGAAACTAAGGATCCAACAAAGTAGACCTCACATAAAACTGGACTGATTTCGTTTCTCAACCTCCTGGCCTTGTATAACTCATCCCCAAAACCTCCGAAAAAAATTTAGTTGATTTTGTTTATTCACAAGAATATCGGTTGATTTCGTTTTAGCTTCCCTTAACTAAGCCCAAAACCCAACGAAATTTCTGTAGATTTCATTTCAGGAGAAGAAGAGAGATGTGCCTGGTGTTTGTGTGTGATGAGGAAGAGCGCATGGTGGGCAGGTAATGTGGCCCCTAGGTGTTGCCCTTGTTGTGGGAGGACAGTGCAAGGCATTAATGTGGAGAGCTCTTGGAGGTTTCTATGCAGACTTTTTGAGTTTCTATTGTAATGTTGGGGGGAGAGATGGGTTACAAGAGAGAGATGGCATGGGGGAGAGAGCACGTGAGAGAAAATGGTTGAGAGAGATTCATGATTTTTGGAGAGATAAAGGGCTTCCTGATTTTAGGGCTAACATATAGTTGTCCGGTATTTTTTTGCAAGGTATAAATCTCACATGTCCGGTGTTCGCATTATCGGACAGGGAGGTAACTTGGAAAAAAAAAACCCGTGAGAGGGGTGCCACCTGTAATTTGAGACAAACGTGATCCCATTTTGGGATTGACAGTTCCAATATGGTCCGTATATAAATTTCTCAAGGTTTATTTATATTGAAAATAATATTTTTCAGAAGAATTGAAGTTCCTAAATCTTGTTGAATATTTCAAACTCTTTAAATTTTATGTACATTATGTTTTGAAGTTTGCGCAAGCTAATTCCCTGACTCGGCTCAAATCCGTTGGTAGACATTCTAACCATTGTTCTTATGTTTTTTTTATAAACTAGTGTCGATGATGAACTAGTGTCACTGGCCTATGCAACCCTGCCCTCGCCTCCCCTCTTTCTCCCTTTTCCTAAAGCTCTGTTATTCTCCCTTGTAACCATTATAGCCTTTAATATGCCCGTGATGGTGCTTCACGGCTCTAATAAGCCTATGAAACTCAAGCACCAACTTGGCATCACATACCTATTTGGTCTGTAGTAATCTAATTGATATATGAAACCCTCGGTAACTCTTCCAACAAGTGATGATTTAAAAATCAATGACCTGATTTAGAATCGGGCGATTTGGATCGGAAATCGTCATGACTGTCCCGAATAGTACATTTGCGGATTTTTTCGTGGAACTGTTGATTTCGACGATTCTTCATTGATTCCAACCTATTCAAGCGAGAAAAAAAAGATGAACAGTTTTTTTCTTGAATTAATTCTTTTAAAAATTTGGGACAAAAAATAATGATTCCGCCGATTCTTTCTATCCGACCCCCCGAGCCAACACGGGTATGGATATGACAAATTCGAGTCATTTATTCCTTTTTCTAAACACTGCTTCCAACAAATAGGCACCCATTTAATAGACCTATTCAATAAGTGATGAACATAATGGGTCCAATAGGTCCATAAATGGCATTTTAACGATTAAAAAAAAAAAAAAGTTTGTATAAGGTTGCAACATTAAAATGTAGAATTACAGATGCACCTCAAAAATCCATCGAAAAATGTTGTTTTATTGTTGAAGAAACTTCTAATTGATCATCTCGACATCCAAATGTATGAATATAAAATAAAAATAAAAATTTGAGTCCCAACAATAGTGCATATTGCAATACATTGTCTAGACCGTCCATTTTTAAGATTTTCATATGTTTATAGATCTACTTGATTTTAACCATTTTTGGAGTTTAAAATTTTATAATTAGAGATAAAAATAGATTTTGACATATTCCTAATAATTTTTTTCACCAAAAGCCTTAATTGGATTGTTTAGGGTTGCAACCTTATAGAATCCATGCTAAAAAAAATGTCAAAAAATAGGTTGCTGTAGATTTGAAAAAGATATCTCCAATTTTTAAAGAACTATGAGATATTTTTTATAGTTTTCCTTTTATATTTCTAAAAATTCGAGATGGTAATTGTATCAAGGGGGTTATATTCCTAGATTTGATGACCTGATGCACTAGATTGGGTTTTTACCCAAAGAGAACGTATAAACCCATGGGAGCATATATAATCTTGGATGAGGTATCCATAATGCTATGTTTTATGGACACAACCTCAAATCCTCGCATGGAAATCATTTTCGGCAACAAAAATCTTTATGATGGCTTCAAAATCAATTTTGAAGACCAACAATAAAAATTGAAACTCATGAAATGATACAGATGTTGCGGATCTTTGAACACTTATCTATAGGGTGAAAATGGATGGTTTAGATATTTTGTTATAATACACATCATTTTTAGAGCTTGAAAATCTATTTTTTTTTGTTTAAAACCATAATGTTGAAAGCCAGGATGATCAATGTAAATGTTTTGTATTGCTTGAATTACAATTTTTCATGAGTTACGAGGTGGGGTTTTACTTATTTTGATAGGACCTATAAAACTATTTTCGTATCAATCACTTCCTTAAGGATGTCCATAAGGCCTACACTTTATGAAAACAAAATAAAGTTTTATCTCAAATCCTCATTTGAAAAGTATTTTCTGCAAATAAATCTTCATGACAGCTCTAAAATCAAATTCTAACATTGACAATAAATTTTGAAACAAAAAAATATTATAGATAATGAAAATTTATTTTTAAGACGAAATAGACGGTCTAGATAATTTATTACAACATATAATGCTTTTAAAGTTGAAATCTTAAGTTTGTTTTTCACAAACATAATGTTCAGCCAAAAATGATGGATGCAAACGTTTTCGCTGGAATTGTAAAGGTCGATGATTTATGATAGGGAAAAGTTTATATAGAGCCGAGGCTCTAAACCATCAAATTAGAGGCTACGTCAAAAATTTCATTAGAAGAGGTTGTTTTGATGCCTAAATATCATCAAATTGATCATCTCGATATCAAGATGCATGGGCATGAGAAAAAAAACGGATTTCAAATTTCGGAAATAGTGTATTTTATAATACATTTTGGACCGTCAATTTTCAAGTTTTCATAGATCTATCGATCCCCACTATTTTTGAAGCTTTAAACTTTATAAATAAAAACCACACCCTTTTATGAAAAGAGGGTTTAGTTATTTTGATAGGGCTGAAGCCTTATCTGGAAAACTTCTAAATCACTTCAACCTCGCGAAGTTGCAAAAGAGTAGGTTGTATGGACGGTCGATATAAACCTCGCGGTCAGCTCTTCTCCAAATCTCCTCCGTCGATCAAGACAACGCACGTGCCTAAGGTCAATTCTCTTGGGGAGCTTTCCTTGTGGCACGAAAAGCGCGGCTCATGCGAGAGAGGCATCGAGTTGCAGAGAAACAAAACAAAAATGCTTTAAACTGTGCCCTAACCTAAGTTATTCTCAAAAGAAAGAGCGCCCTAGCCCCTATTTTGCTAAGGAGCGATTGGAGTTGCAGGTTGTTGAAAAACCTTGGCAGAGAGCTGTGACCGGATCCTAGTTCTTCTTATCATCATTGAACTTTCAGAGAGAAATCTAGGGCTAAAATTGTTGCTTTACCCTCATTCTCTGCTTTGTTTCTTTCTCATTGCATGTCTATCATAGCAGAGTCTTAAGGCATGCTTTGACTCTCTCAGTGTGGAAAATTAAGTTAAAAAATGGCTCACGGTGGTTATGGAAGGAGGAGAGTTGCAGAACGTGGGCCGGTTGGTAGGAGGACGAGAGGGCCTGGTGTTGAGAAGAAAGCAAAGCCTGGCGTTGAGAAGAAAGCCAAGTCTGTTTCTCTTAAGAACCAGATACGATCGATTGAGAGAATGCTTCTGAGAAAGGTTTGCCTATTTTTCTGGTTGTTGTTGCTGTTGTTGTCGTTATTGTTATTGTCATTGGGAACTTGGCAATGATATGTTTTTCATTGCAATCAGGTTGATAAGGGTAGTGCTATTGTGATGAATTTATTTGATTAATGCCACTTATTTGATCAATGCTGGGAATTTCGTAGATGTAATGCGAAATTAATTAATCTTAGTTCTGAGAGTGATAATGGTTTCATGATGATTTGAATTGCTTACTCATAAAAAAAAGCAGAAAATTTTAGAGTAGTGTAGCGGGTGCCACAATGTTTAGTCTAGAGTTTCATTCTCATCCATTCCAAAGTTAAAATTTTTAAAAGAAAAGGAAAAAGGAAAAGAAAAAAGTGGTATTTGTTTACCCCTCATGATACATAAATTTTGGAGTCCAGGTGCGCTAGTGCATAGTGCCTTAGACTGTGATTCCAGTTGTGGGTTATTTGTTACTTTAAGTGCACTAGAAATGTGGGGACCTTTAGTGAACTCGATTATGAACTGTAACAAGCTTGAAAGAGGGTGCTGGTCTTTATCTTGCATTGTAAGGATGTGGATAAATCTACATTTTCTTTCCTCATATTTGTATAATTTATAACTGTTTGCTAGAATATTGCTCATGAACCCAAATGGTGATTGAGTTTTGATGCCTCATTTTAATAACACTTCCTTCCCATGCTTTGATAGTAGTCAATTATGATACATCGTAGTTGCTAATTTGAGTCTAAAGTATGGCAAAGCTTTCTTTATTGTTAATCTGTATGGTAACCAGGAAACCTGATTTTCAGATGCCAACACAGTCCCATTTCGTTATAATTTATAACTGTTTGCTAGAATATTGTTCATGAACCCAAATGCTGATTGATTTTTGATGCCTCATTTTAATAACTCTTCCTTCCCATGCTTTGATAGTAGTCAATTATGATACATCATAGTTGCTAATTTGAGTCTAAATTATGGCAAAACTTTCTTTATTGTTAATATGTATGCTAACCAGGAAACCTGATTTTCAGATGCCAACACAGTCCCATTTCGTTTGCATGCTTTTTCTGCTGTTTTACTTTTGACGATATTATGTATTTTCTAACTGTTTCATCAAGCTTAAGTACTGAAACTTGTCTGATCTTGCAAAGTCTCTCATCTTGAACTTCTTCCTTTGGATAGTTCATAGGTATGTTTAACTCAGTAATTGCATGATCTGATAAAAAGAGTTGAAGTTTGGTTCACTTTATTCTCAGTAATTGTGAGCTCAGCAAGCTTTATGCACTTCTTATCTTCTTTGATCCTTGAATTCAAACCACCAAAAATGTCTTCTAATGTTGATAATTCTTTAGAATCTTCCACATGAAGTCAAGAACGCACAGGAAGCAAGGCTGGAAGAACTGAAGAAACAGAAAGAAATTGAAACTCGTTTGGCTCTAGAACGTAAAATGTCCCTACGATATCGAAGAATTAAATTTTTTGGTAGGTTTACTTTATTTATTATCATGTACATTGACGTTTTTCTTTTTCTTGTTTCTGACAAACATCTGGAATATATTTCTATTATTGAGGATTGAATCTGTAAATTTATTGTGATTATCCAGTTTTGTCAAAAGGATTCTTTCTGTCCATTGATATTTCTTTTATCAAATAGAGCGAAGAAAGATGGAAAGAAGAATAAGACGTCTGGAGAAATTACAAAGGACAACTACTGATCCTCACTCGGAAGAACAAATTGCTCGTCAACTGTCTAAGTTAAGAGAAGATCTTGAATATCTCAGAGTAAGTTTTTCAGCGACAATTATGAGTGATTAAGTTATGGCTGGATGTATTGAACAATGCACGGTAAAAACTAAAGTTTCCTGGTCCCCTTGAATACCAAGGACCCCCCTTGAACACAATCAGTGTTTGTCTTTTCTATTTTCGATTTTTTCCCTTTGTTTGTGTTTTGGTTTGTCTAGGGGTGGGAGAGGGGGTCACAAATTCACTCTGCATCAACTGGAAGTTCTCATTTTTAAAAAAAAAGGAAGAATACGAATCAATATTTTCTATTATTTTCCCTTGTGCACTCAAAACCCTTACTTGGTTTCTCAACCTGGGAAAGCACTTATTATTTTATTGTGATTAATGATATCATAGCATAGAAAATAGCAGTTTCGAAGAGCCAAATAAACATGGTACATTGAGTCATAGTTTTTTTCGTTGATCTGAGGTCTTGGACAATCCATGGAAAAAACGATACCTCAAGTAGATATCAACATTCATTCATTGTTGATAATGAATGCATATGCATAAGAAAATCCTTTTTTCATCTAAAATTAGTTTCTTATATGCTGCATCCTTTCTTTATATTTGTGATAACCAAAAGATCTACCTACCCCAATTTTTGTTGTTGTGGCTTGTTATTGTACTCATATATTTAGAACACTCGTAAGTGTCTAAGGCAATCGTGCACATGCAATTCAAAGAGTTGCACTGTGAGATTCTTAATCTATGAGACCTTAACTCTTTCTGAGCTAGTTATCATATTTTGGCTTTTATGACAGTGGGAAAAAGGAGTGAGAGGGTACTAATGAAGGCTCTTATCTCATCTTGTGAAGAACTAATTCAACAGTAGTTCATTTATCAAGGCATATCAAAGGATGTGGGGTGCATCAAGTGAAGTGGAGGGAAGTCTGCATGCTTTAGGACGTAGTGGTTTTTCTAAATTAATTTCCTACAAGCTGCATCCTTCTTATTTGTGATAACCAAAAGACCTACTTACTCTGATTTTTGTTGTTAAGGCTTGTTATTCTCATGCATCTAGAATGCTGCCTGAGTGCCTATCACCAATCTTGCATTATCCCGCGAGTTGCACTGTGGGATTCTTAACTTATGAGAACTAAAGACTCTCTGATCTAGTTATCGTATTTTGCCTTTATGATGGTGAGAAAGGAGTGAGTAGTTTGTGGAGGCTCTAATCTTAGCTTGTGAAGAGTTAATTGAACACTAGTTCCTTTAGCAACCATATCAACAGATGAGCGTTGCATCAAGTGAAGTGATAAGGAATCATGCCGTCATGGTGATTTTCATGATAGGTGGATTGGAGGATAAGTGGTGTCTAGGGGTGGCAATGGACTTGGACCCAACCCTGGACCCGACGACCGGACTGGACGGAACCTGACCCGACCTGTGTCCGCGTATGGGTAAAAGAATTGGGCCCGGTGTGTTGGGTCCGGGTCCATTTGGACCTGAACCGGATCTGATCCGAATAGTATTTTTATTTAAATAATACTTGATATAAAATATTTTAATAATATTTAAACAAATATAACTATCTATTTAAAGTTATCGATCTTTCGATAAATCTTAAAGGAGTGGTTTTTGGGGAGTTTTTTTCACCCTAAAAGCCATGGTTTTGGGGGTTTAGAATACCCCCCAAAACCCTTTCCCCCCCCTTTTTAGGGGGGAAGAATGACCTTTTTTAACCCTCAACGATACCCATTTTCCGTCTTTTTCCAACCTGTCACGAGGCGGTGCCTAGACGCAAGCCGCATAATGGCCCCTCCTAGCAAGCGCGTCGGGCAGTAGAATTTTCAAACATTGATCTGTAACTGTCAGGCAAGTCACTTCTTTAATTTGATTATCTTTAAATCCAAGTATTGATTATCTTTAGATCCAAAGAATTTTTATTCTACATAGGTTGTCAATTCAGCATTGGATAAAAAAGTTGGAGTGTCCTTTTTTTTTTTCTTTTTAACCGTGAATGGTTCACAATTATTTTATCGATACGAGTGTTCTATATTCGATAAATTCCCAAACCCCAACTGTTACTAGCTTTCAGTTTTGTGAGGGACTGTTCTGAGAAATGGGAAGCTAAGTCATGCAACGCGCATATTTAGGAGGATATTAAGGACGGCAAGGTGGCTCAATTCTGTCAAATATTTTTTAGTTTCATGGTCATGTTGCCTGTCAGCATCAACATGATTTTAGGTGGTCTTACAGCATTGATAGATTCTTAATCAAGTTTCTTGAAGGCTCTGCTCATGGAGGCTTTCAATGACTTTCACTCTGTTATGCTCTGGGTTAATAGTCGGAAATCCTCATTTATAAATGTGTAATAAAAACATCGATGAAAACACTCACAATAATTCTTACTTCAAACTATAATTTACGTGAGATGTGGAAAACCAAAAATTCTTTTAGGAATGGAAAATATGTGGATGATAACAGAATTTTGAAAATTTACTTGGTTAGCAGTGGGTAAGGATATTTTTTAGTAAATAGAAATGTAATTAGTGTTTGTTTCATTGAAATGTCGATAACCTTTTATCGGCACTATGGTAGTATATTTTAATATTTTATATTGTTTCCCAAATTTCAATAAAACCATACGATAGTCATTCCACTTAACGATGGGTTCCATCATTTATACAGTATGGAGCAGATGAATTTCACCTTTTCTTGTTCTTGTCTAATATTTTTGATAAAGTGAACCTTTGTATTGATGAAAATATGGTACAAAAGAGAAAAACCCCTAACAATTTGGGGCCCTGCAGAAGAACCTCATGGGTTCCAAAAAATGGGTCCCTCTACGTGGTAAATACAATGAGATATAGGGGAGAAAGAGAGGGGGAGAGAGAGAGCGAGGAGGGGGGGGGGGGGTGGTTATAGTATTTGAGGGCCTGCAGCTGCTAGGGTGGGTGATGAGGATCCATATTTGGCGAGTGTGTCAGCTTTGGAGTTTGCTTCTCTGGGGATGTGGCTCTGCGAAATATGAAGGGATGAGCAACGAAAAAAGAATTCATTGAATTGCAGCCTCCAGGGGCAGGGGGTCTCGCCTGAGGCCCAATCTATCATTGTTGTTGTCTAATATTGCAAATTAAAACTTTAGAATAAAGTTTGTAGCCATGTGAAATGGGAACTGCCTGCTGTTGATAACACATAAAGACCCATGCTGGCATATGTATATAAAAACATGTTTTTCTCAAATATTTGATTTTCATATATTCTTGTTGAACTTTGTTTTGATTTGCTGACCCCAGTTTTTTGAAAAGCGGACTGCCCAATGCCTAGGCGGTCCAGAAGGCTTGGGCGCCTCGCCCAGGCCTAGGCGGCCAAATTAGGTGGGCCCTTGGGTGGCCACCCAGGAGTGGAAATGCCCCTCGTTGAGGGCTTTTTTTGGTCTTTTTTTAATACTAACGGGGCAAAATTGTGGGTTTTAGGGTTTTAGGTTCATTTAAAAACTAAACCCCATTAGAGCCTATTTTAGGGAGAGAAAAACCCCAAAAAACTAGTTTTTGGTGATTTCCATAAGATTGAAGGGTTTCTCAAAGTTACGAGAAAATTGACCTAAGCATCACCCATTGATACTAGATTTAGTGGACTATCTGACTGTGGACTTATGGAGTATGGAGGAGTGTGTGTTATGTGGACTTGTATACTATACATTTGATGTGCTCTAAATCCTTAACTCTTATGTGTTATATAGTTATACTCTTAGACTATAGAGACATTTTTTTGCTATTAGGCTGCTCAGTTTCTGGGCGCCCGCCTAGTAGCCGTTGGGCGGCTTGGACCCCCCCGTGGCCTAGGCACCGCCTAGTGTTTTTTGAAACATTGGCTGACCCAACCAACTTGGACTTGTAAAATCACATTCATGGTTTTTGTCCACATTCCATTTTTAAAACCGCAAAAGCACATAATGTAATAATTAGGATGGTTCATAAAAGGAATCCAGTGACTACTTCTGATCATTAGTTGTGGTCAGTTTTCTTTCTAAGACCGATACTCTCAATAAATTGGTGCTACGAAAAGATACAATGTTTTCCTCCATTGCAGGTTTGCCTTCTTGCTTTAAGTGGCACATTCATATCGAAATTGTTGATGAACATCATCGCAAAAAGAACAGGAAAAAAATGACTGAACCTAATACTTTCAATGTGTCTCCCTGAACTGCAGTTCTTTCCAAAGACAGAAAAGTACCTTTCTTTATTTGTAGGAGGTGATGATGCAGACGTAATTGACAGGAGAAATCGAATCAGAGAACAGATTAAAGCAAATCTCATGGCTGCGGCAGCAAGTGGAAAAGATTTAGAAGGTTGTGTTTCTTCCTTTGGAATGGCATGTTCTCAAGATTACTGTCATTTCCAATTATTTTAGATTTTTGGTCTAGTTTGCTCCTGGATACACTAGCCCTTTCAAACCAAGAATCTTTTTATTGCCGATGCTGAGTTTTTACTTCACTAACATGACCATTTTTTGGATTTTTGGCTCTTTTATAGAGACTGGAAGTGATGATGATGGTCCCTTGGATGTCAGCGAGGATGATTTCTTTTTGACTGGGAGTTCCAGTGACGAAGCTGATGCTGACGATGAGTGGACAGATAAAAGTACCAGGTGAATTTGTCTCAGTTGGCTAGTGACTTTTTATGTAACTGTGGTATAATATAATCATTATCAGATAGGTTTTCAGGGATTTTACTGTCAGGAGTACTTAAAAAAGGACTCAAAAGTCTAATGACTACAAATATTATATTTGAAGTGATTGTAAAAGAAATTTAGTGTTTTTGTTAATCTTATCTGAATTTCCCATTGAGATCCTGTTGATTTTGGCCATTTTGGATCTTTAGTACACTTCACAGTAAATGGTGGTAGCGGTTCACCACACACCGGGAACATCTATTGTGCAAGGTGATCACATAGGTATGTGGTAGAAACCAAGGGGTGGCTGCCAAGAGGCCTGATGTAAGGAGAAAGACAAAATAAAATAAACAAACAGAAAAATAAAAATAACATTAAAGGATGAGAGATTGTACCCTCTCAAGATCTACAAAGGTGTCCACCCCTAAACAATTTCTTCACAAGATCCAAATAAGCTCTTATTTTCCTCTTTGTTTTTTATGTTCTAAGAGTTACATATTTGTAAAAGAAAACAACCCTAAAATCTAACTTAGTCCTTAAGAAACCCTAACTAAATCTTAACCCTTCATCTTTAGAAAAAAAGTAATAAGTAAATAAAGCTCCAATTTTACCCCTCAATTCTCTAATGAAAACTAGAAACCCAAAATAATGCTAAACTTCTTATGAAAACTAGAATACCTCTAATGATGAATACCTCTAACGAAAACTAGAAACCCAAAATAATGCTAAACCTAAGTTTCAATGTTCTAAGAATAATAAAATAAAAAATTAAAAAAAACTCTTAACTACATCAAGGCCCCTCTAGATCTTCAAGCTCGAACTCCTCTGGAGCTTGGAAAGCAATCAGCCACACTCACCAACAATTCATCAAGCACATCAGATTCTCAGTGAATAGGGGAATTAGGTTAGATTTTGGTGTAACCTACGGTTCAAACAGATACCCTGGAAATGGCTTTTCCGTTATTGTTTCAATTGGCGTCTAACCTAGAAGTCCTATTCTCTTGATCTAAAGGACAACTTGGGTGGTCAGAGCATCTTGACACCTCTTTTTGGCACAACTGCGATGACAACGAAGCTCAGGACCTGCAAACACTGCTTTCCCCAGCTCCTACTTCTTTTCATTCCATGGTGATGATAAAATGTCTGGTGCTCTGATACTTTGGATAAGTTCTCGGTTTCTTCTTTAAGACCATTACATCTGGCATTCTTTGGCCCAGTATAGCTTGCCAAGTTTAGCCAATACCTGCTCACATAAAGTCCAAGCCTTTTAGTTGGTTAGTGGCCCTTAACAAGGTGCTCAGCTCTGGGGCATCCAAATCCCAAAGTGCTGTATTATGTGCCTGGAAGAGGAGGAAATGAACGGGCACGTATTCTTGCTCTGCAGTACACCCTCAGAATTCTGTTCTGTATCCGTTGGGTATGCTCGTGATCTCACAGGGACCTGCTCAAATGTTGGGCCCCCCTTTCTTCCCCCCCACCCCCCCAAAAAAAAAAACTAAAATAAAAAAATAAAAGAAAACCACAAACACACACACAAAAGGACAGCCTGGTTGCAAATGAATGCTCGCACCTTCAAAGGCAAGATCCCTAGACTACCAGCCCTAGTTAACAAGACCAAAGATCTCATCCTATCGTGGACAGGACGTATACCCTGAATGATTTCAAGGTACAGTCTTTGCCACCCAATGGAAAAGCATTATCATTCGGTACCTCAGCATACCCCGAAATACTTGTTTTTGATGGCGCCACCAGTCGGTCTCATCATAATTTTGATGTCATCTCGAAGGGGAAATCCTGCCCTGCTCGTTTGGTGGTCTCTATAGAAACCCTCAGGGGCAATTTCTGCTCACCTACTTAGGGCCCAAGGCCTTCTTGTTGGTCTCCAGACTGATAGAAATTGTGGGACATGTCTGCTCTTATGGGGCATCCCAATAACCCTGGAGACTAGAACAAATCTTTGAACAATATATCCATTTGTGCAGATTATGTGCAGAGAGAGGCAAACAGAGCTACAGACACATTGGCCAAATAAGGGTCTGAACTCCCAGCAACTCTCATCAATGCAACCCTCCCATGCCCCAGATTTCATTATTTGTGATGCTCAACATCACACGGTTAATTAAAATCTGAGATTACCCCTCTTCAGGGGCAGATAATTTTGCAAACGTTACACAGTCCATGAAAAACATCAATTATAACAAATATAGTGCTTTAGTGACAAATATATGGGCGTCAGTGGTCAGACTAATTAACCCAGTTCCATCCCAAACTGACAAAATTTAATTTTGTGATTCAGTAGAACGACCATTTCCCTGGAAATTTGTTTATGATTTAAGAAGATGATGTTTCCTGTAAAAGGAACTGACAGGTTCTGTTAGACTATTCAGTAGCCAGATTATTTTTTTTATTTTCCTTATATTTGTGTAAACCTTTTCCAAATGATTGATACATCTATAGTGAATATGTACTTGCAATTGGGCATAATTTTATGCATGTGTTAATGGGTATCTTCTGACTGCTAATACTTTAGGTCTTTGTTTATGTGGGTTTAATCAGAGAGCAAGCTTCAAGTACTTCTGGTAAAGCAGCATCGGGCATGTCAAGTGATGAAAAGAATCAGGTTATGGTAGCATCTAGGACTAGGGTTGTACACTAATAAAATGCAAGCAATATTTGTCAACTTTTCTTGACATTCTTTTTTACTGTTTTTGCAGAGGCAAATGTGTGCAAGGGTTCTTATGCCTCCTCCTCGCTCATTAACTAACTCATCTAAAAGTAGAGGTGCTGGTGTTGCAAGGTTTTCACGCCCATCAAGTAGCAGGAACCCACCAACGGCAAAGTTTAACAACTTTTCCACATCGAGCAACTCTTCACCGGGCAGAAGCGAGCCTTCTGCAAGTAGGAGTTCTTCAAAGGCACGTACTGGTCATAGCAGTAACCTGAGTTCAAATTCCGATGCCCACAAGCCTCGGAGAAAACGCCGACCAAAGAAGAAAAAGCAGGCCTGATTTTCTCGTGTGGTACAAGGTCTGGGTATGCTCCAAATCGCACGTCTTGCCTGTTTTCTGGCACATAATGTGATCTCTGTGGAACTCACTTATATTATTGATCTCTCTCTCTCTCTCTGTTTTATTTGTAGGGTTTGTATACAATGAGACCATTTATCTTTGGTACAAAGAGGTCACAATTACTTGTAACCCTCTGATGTGAAATACAATTGCTTATGGCTTAGATGTGTCACAAAATTCGAGAAAATTTCTTTTGAACTTTGAAGTTGATCAATAGAATAAATGCAACCACTCAATTTTACATCCAATGGTCAAGATTACTTGTGATCACCTTGTACCAAAGGTAAGTGGTGATGCATGCACCCAAAACAAACATGAGTGCACAGAGAGAGAGAGAGAGAGAGAGAGAGAGAGAGAGAGAGAGTAACATTGCATACTTCGGGAATGAGCTCTATAAAAGCATACCTTCTGTTTTTCTAAAATGATCATTTGTTTAAAATACTAGCAACTCAGAAAAGTTATTTTTTGTTTTCGACTGATTTATCCTATATTTATCTGTGTATTACAGGTATCGTGAGTAAACCATGATTCTGCTCAGCTCAAGTCATTTTAACTAGAGACTCCATTTAGACTGTGGCTGGCGGAATGTGTATTGTGATACATGTTTTACTGCTGTTGGCCAAACTACAAGCTTGTGGTTGAGTTTTGTGACACTACTACTTGCAGGGCCATCCACTAGTTTTAAAGAAGCACAGAGCAACTGAAATCAGATGGTCTATGGGTTATCATTCTTCAAAGCATACTAGGTTTCTAGTTAATGGGTTTTTTTCTGTGTTATTTTCGATGTGATTACAAGAGTATCTTTAGGTCATTGGAAGCAAAGTAGTTCCATCTGCGTAATGTAATATTAAGGTTGATGTGCCAAAACCATAGTGTCAAGTATTGTAACTTTTAAAAGTTCTGATAAAAATATCTATTTGTCGTTTGTATTTGGATGCCTGACCATCATTTGAAGAACCAAGTTTTGACTAGGAATATAAGGCCATCTATCCATTATTGATGAATATTGTGGATCCTTATTATTATTATTATTTTGTGTGTGTGTGTGTGGGGTGAGATCCACTTCCGCCAACCCTATCGAACCCATTGAATGGTCGGTGTTAATGTCATGGTCATGAGGTTTTTATGAACTGACGGATCATATTTAATGGTCCCTTCTTTATTAATCATTTGGATATACAGCTCCAGATTTGGAGTACAGGTTTTTTCTTGGAGTACTGCACCATTTGTTCCATACAATGTGCTTTATCAGCTGTGTTCTGTCTCAAATGTGCAGACTTTTCTTAAGAGATATTAATGCCTTGTTGGTGGAAAACCATATATGAATTATGTTCATGTTATTTTGGTGGCGTGTTATTTTGTGCATTTTTATTTCTTGTTTGGATGACTAATATTCTTGTTTGAGATTGCTCGGAGGACTTCATACAATTAGGAAAATGTTATTAAGTAATGAAAAGTATTCGAGATAGCAGGGAGAACTTTAAAGATTACGAGTATGTTGTTTATTTAGGGAAAATATTTCTTACTAGGGCTTGATTAGTTTGGTACTGACAATTGCAACACGACGTCTTGAGCTTGATTCCTACTATTTAGCTACACAAAAATGCATATCATACCATGATAGCTTTGTACGCATGGATTTAGACAGGTCCTTGAAGTATCCAGTGGATGGTTAGGGGTATCATTTCTCAGCTCTGAGTGTGTCAGATTGACACCAAACAACAGTTGGTGAGCTTGGGGACAACCGTCATTATCATCGAATGGTGGAGGCACTTTTTTTGTGTGTGTGCCTGCGTGTGTGGAGGCATTCGAATGCTTGTGATTACCGATGCATAGGCTTGAATGACTAAGTGGGTTGATGACTTTTGTGCGGAGGCATTCGAATGCTTGTGATTACCTATGCAATGGCTTGAATGACTAAGTGGGTTGATTATAGTTATGAAAGATGTTTTATCTTGCACATCAAACTTTGTGCTTCACCCAGCTCAAAAACTACTTTTGAGTTCGCAAAACATCCACAATATCAATCTATTCCAAGTTTTATTTTCTAGAGCTCCAAAACAACCTTCAGATTCTAAAGTTTTTTTTTAAAAAAAAACTTCAGATTCCCTGTATATGTGCATTAAATTGACTGTAAATTTTATAGTAGGGTCATGTTGAATTTAGGGCATTTTTGAAGCTTCAAATCTTCTTTTTGTTTTTCTCCACAACAAGGTAGGAAATAATCCTTTAGAATATCTTAATCTCACTCTTGGCACTTCAAAAGTAGTTTTTGAGGTGGGCGTAACACTAGGTTTTATGCATCGGTCAGAACTTGCTCTAATTTTTCATTATGAAATAAGAAAGAACTAGATAAGATCATTTATTATCGAGGAAATCAATATGTGGTAAGGGGGATTGGGGGTTGGGGTTGGGGTTGTAGTTGTGGTTGTGGTGGCAGTAGTCATTATGTTGTGGTTTTTATTTCCACGAACACCATTCGTTAATACTTTTAAAAAATGGGTAGGGGCCCGTTTTTTCCACTGCAAAAAAGGGGATCAATATCATCATTGGCCAATAGATCTGAGATTGGGTAGGTAAGGATGTATCTTCAAAATTTCGAGAATTATTTATTTATTTTTATGATAAATTTTACGTTGTTAGATTTCATATTTGATTACATATGATTGTGATTTTTTTGTACTAAATTAAAAATCATTTCCTTACATTAAATCCCAAAAAATTAAATCCCAAAAAACTAAAGTGAAAATTGGCCTCCACCGTTTCAAAGAGCAAGGGACCATCTATGGCCTTTGAGAAAAGATAAGCGCCGTTGTGGTCAATGTAGCACAACGTAATATGGAGGGCTTTTTTTCCGTCATTTCATAATTTCATTTCACACCCAGGTGAGGCAAATTGTTCATTTGGCCGGGTTCGGCAACATTAACGAGCTCACCGATTACTGTACAGAGAGAGAGAGAGCGAGCGAGAGAGGGAGTACTAAACTTGTGTTTTGCATTAGAAAGAGAGAGAAACCTATTAGAGGAATAGCTGTGTCTTATCTGATTTAGAGAGAGAGAGAGAGGAGATGAAGGGTTTGATTTGCATCCTGATCCTTTCCACCGTGTTTCGGCCATCCGATGCAGAAGGGGTCAGTCCCCTGGAGGCAAAGCAGCTCAGAGACGAGGTAAGCAACCCAACTGTTCTCGACATTGTTTTTTTCAGATACTTATCATTTTCTTCTTCTTCTTTTTTTTGGTAGATTTTTAATTTACTTTCTTCAGTACCAAGATCATCACAAAACCTGTAATTTTGTTGAATTTACCTTCCAATTTTTTATTAACTGAAATGGCGAATGTTGGGAACTAAATGATATGATATACTTTTTCCTTTTTCATCAATCAATTTTCAGTTTTCTCAATCCATATTCCTGGTATTGTTGTCTTGAATGAGAAAAACACTTAAATTTTACTGCGTTGTTCTGTTAATCCTTCAATAGTTGGTATTTTTGTTAATCCTTTAAATTTTTAGGTTCAACAAATGTTTTATCATGCATTTGATGGATACATGGAACATGCTTTTCCCTTGGATGAATTAAGACCATTAACCTGCTCTGGAGAAGACTCACTTGGTTCTTATGCTCTCACTCTTGTAAGTCTGATCCTTCATTTTCTAGGGTTCTCTCTCTCCCATTTGATATATGTTTATTAATGTTTTTTTTTAATAGGGAAAACTATCAAAGTACACCTTACTACTTAGCATTTTACCCATTTATTTTGGTTTAATTTCAAAAAGCTCATCGAAATATGTATAATTATGAGGTGGAATAGTTGAAAATGGCTAAAATGTTTGATTACTGAGGTTTGTTTTGATAAATTTCCCTATATAACATTCCATTCACTCTTGCAATAAGAGCTAAATTAAACTCTGATGGTATGAAACAGATTGACTCATTGGACACATTGGCCTTATTGGGAGACAGTTCACGCTTTACTGCTGCTGTTGAATGGATTGGTCAAAACTTGAGTTTTGATATAGTGGGTATTTTGTGTTTTTTTATGGTTTCTGAGTTAATGATTGAATATATCTGATGAATTTGACCATTACTCTTACAATCATAAAAAGGAAGATGGCAGAAAAAGACTTGCTTTCACAACATCTAGTTGTCATCGGCTAGAAAAAGTATAGATGGATAAATATACCGTTTCATATATTGCATTTGAAACAAATTGATCTGTTTGAACTTTGATTTTTTCTTTTTCTCCACTATGCACATTTCAATCAATTTGAAGATTGACAGTGAATAGATCTAGACAAAGTGTTAATCTTGTATATCCTTCTTCTTTGAGTTTTTGCAATTTTCTCAAGAGCAGGGACATTGCTAACATTATTTTACTCATGATCTTGCAAAATGCATTTGAGCTTACTTATATTTCTAGTAATGGATTGATATCTTCGTGCAAAAACCAATAACTTCAATCGAACTTTCACTGGTCTTGCAGAATAAAACAGTGTCTCTTTTTGAGACCACAATCCGTGTTCTTGGGGGTTTGCTCTCGGCCCATCTTATTGCAAGTGACTATGCTACAGTATGTTATTGGTGTTTATTTGTTTGACTTCATTGATTATATAACTCTAGCATCTTGGCCAAATTTGTGGATATCCATTGTTGTGGAAGGTTTAAATGAATTTCTCTTTGAGCAAGTTACATGAAATATGTAGGACGATGTGTGCTTGCGTGGCTATTTGGATCATCATTTGTTTTGCCAACCTGGTTTTTTGTATTTGCTGGCTGCGTATGGTGTTACATTATGCCATCAACTATTTCTTTGCAGGGTATGAAAGTTGATTCGTATGATGATCAGTTACTTCATGTGGCTGAGGATTTGGGTCAAAGATTACTTCCTGCATTTGAAACTCCAACAGGTATTTTCATTGTTATCATCCAACAGGTATTTTCATTGTTATCATCTCTGGAATGTAGTGAGGAGACACTGATTAAGAGTATGATTAGTTCATAACCTAGGACAAGATGATAATACAACACATTTGTGATGTTAATGTTTGTATTATTTTCCTAATATAGATCATCATCATCATCATTATCATCCTCATTTGAGCTTTAACCGAACTATTTGGGGTCTGCTATATAAATCCTGTTCCACCATTCCGCTCTATCAAGGCTCATACCCTTAGTTAGACCGTAGGTCATCATATCTTTTCTCTTTACTCCCATCCCTGTTCTTTGGGGCTTTCCCCTTGCCTTTTACATCCTTCAATTTGAGCCAAATCACCCCTCCTAACTTGGTTGTTCTTGGTCGATGCTGCACTATTTACCTAATATAAATGATTATTATAAAATAAATATTTATGCAATGTAAATCTGTTATTTTAATGTTTCTGAAATTGATTATTGCTAAGAGATTTTGACTTTGACTTTGACTCTCACTCAGTCATGTGAAATTTGGTTACTTCTGAAATTTAGGTTTAGTTGCAAAATGGGCACATCACTGATGGAGGTGCATCTATAACAAACTTCAGTTGCAATATTTTTCAAAACTCGCTTTATAAATTGTTTCTGACATTCAAATTTTGGCTACTCGGGTTTTGACCATAACTGTGAATCCTTGTTTCGCAAAATAATCCTGTTCTTTGGGACTTGATATGGTTTATGTATCCCATCAAGTCATTGGGACGATATCTGGATAAGGAATGTTTTCCAGTGCAACTTTCTTTTTGTGATTTCTGATTAAATGTCACTGCAGGGATTCCTTTTGGTTCCGTCAATCTATTATATGGAGTTGATGAACATGAAAGCAAGGCAAGGTTTGATAGGCTTGTGTGCTCAATTTTATAAGAGTGTTTCTGGTATCCATGTTTGTTTTTTCCTATTAAAGTCCCCATCAAGGGTTTCATATGATATACCTCTATATATGTATCTTTTAAAATTGTTGGATGAGGCTTGGATTATGATGAGGATATGTTTATTTTGAAGTAAATCATTTAAAAGTCACGGACAAGTGTTCCTCCCACATTTATTTGTAATTGAATCATATGGTCAATATTAATGTTTCATACAGATAACATCAACAGCTGGTGGTGGCACTCTAACAATAGAATTTGGAGTACTGAGTCGCCTGACAGGCAATCCTGGTAACTATTTGCCCCTCGTAATTATTTTATTTTATTTTATTTATCATTGTCCCTGTGTTTTTGTTGCTTAAAGTCGGAAAATAACTGAAACTCCATTTTGTTCCTTTTGACCAGTGGCAAGAAATTTTTAGCTATTTTCTGTTTTGAATTACTTGAAGCTATGGTTGTATTAGACATATATGTCTATGTATATTCTGCTGGAAGTATGGATTTAGTGGGAGCTCTTTGAAGCGCTATTGCATTGTCATTAGAAACTATGGTTGTATTTGACATTTATGTCAATGTATATTCTTCTGGAAGTATGGATTTAGTGGGAACTCTTTGAAGCATTATTGCATCTCTATTCTTTATGTATAAGCCACATCTAAGGGCAGGACACGTCATTCAACTAGGAGGATCCTATAGGTAGAGAGAGTTTAGTGTAGGAGAATAACTTATTTTATTGAGAGATCCCAAAATTGTAGGACATATTGTCCATATAAATTTAGGCTTTATACTTAACATTATGTGCTAAAAATCTCTAACTATATTCCCGGAACTTTTCTAAAATCTGATGATAGCCCAAGGTAAAACATTAAACCCTAAAAATTCTTAAACCAAATTCCGAAGGAAATAATTTGAGAAGCTTGTATTGCTACTGCACTTAGGCTGACTATGAGGAAGTAATTTATCTGGGAAACCAGTTTTAGGTTGTCCCTTCTTTATTCGTCTCATTCCTTTTGAAAAAAAAGCCCGGTAGATATAAAGTATGCCCTTTCTCTTCCTCTGGAGATGTTACTCGCACAAAAGGTGGCAAGGCTGCAATAAGTCTGATTTTTGCATGAAATCGTTGATGAAAATTCAAGAAAATATTTCCTTAAATTATAGATAGAAGTAGGGATGTCTAGAAAGTTGAATTTGGGGGGGGGGGGGAGGGGGGGTATCTATAATTTTCCCTTAATTTTAAAACCACCGTCTGGACCATCAGAACACCTATATGCCTAGTTCATTGGGTCATTTTCTTTATATTATTATAATACACATGCATATGTATGGACATTTGTACATACTTGAAAGGGTGTGAATATACACTTGTACATGCATATGCTCTGACTAGAAGTAACACATTCCTTAGAAATTCTTGTTTTTGGTATTTCAGCGGTAGGAATCAGACTTGGGGCAAAGTGTTCACAATCATCAGCCACCAATCTGTAAAGCCCAAGCCTGGATCCTATCTCCTTAGAAATTCAAGTGCCTGATAAAGTTGGACCTTGAAGTGGAGGCAACTCCATTTGGCCTCTTGAAATAGCAGGCTGAAATATTTATTCTACATATATTAAACCATAGTTAAGGGGTGGATGTGTGGCATTCAATTGGATGGAAGCCCTAATGTATGAGGGAATGTAGTGTATGTACCCTAGAAAGAGAGATTAAGATTCAAGACTAAGGTATTTAGAGAGAGATTAGGGTAGGCATTCGGTCTTTTTCTATGCCTAAAATTTTTGCGTAAGCGATGTCTCATCTCTCTCCATCTCTCTAGTTGAAAAGAGGATATATCAGGAAACTACCTATAATCTAATCAAATCAGGCAATCTCTCATCTCTGTCATTCTCTCCAATCGAAATTAGCTATTAAGAAACTACCTACAGTTGAATCAAGTCAGGTCCCTACCTTGAGAGATTTTGAGTGAGAGAGAGACAGATTTTAGAGGACATAGAGACATGAGAGATTGTACTTTCTAATAAGAAGTGTAAATCCAATCCAATCTAAGCCGAATCCAATTCCTTTCTAGACCCTTTCGTGAATTTTAAAAAACCCAATTCAAATCGCTCTAGGTTCTACCTAATTCATGTTGAATGAATATTGGGTGGCCTGATTTCCATCTTTCTCTCTCTCTCTCTCTCTCTCTCTCTCTCTCTCTCTCTCCATGCTGAAAGCAAACTTATCTAAGTATCCCCCCTCTCTTTCCCAGTTTCCCGTCTCTCTCTCTCGCTCTCTCTCCCTATCTCCCACCATATTTACAAAAATCTTATCTAAGTATCTCTTCCTACCTTTTTTGGTAAGTTGGCAGGAAAAAAGTCTTCCACCCAGCTATTCTCTTGTAAACCTACACAAAGTTTTTGGGGAAAACATCTCATCGTACAATTTCATAATCTCTCTCTAATCATTTTTCTATTCCATAATATCAGCCTCTCACCTCATGCTATATCAAAGCATTATGTAGAGGAGGGTTTATATCAGATCACAGAAGCAGCATGTAGAGGAAGGTTTACAATGGTTTGGGGTCTCCACAAGGAATTTTTTACATCATATTATTTTATCATATGATGGGCCTATTCCTCCTTTTATTCCTCTATAAAAGTAAGTTGATATTTTTAAAAATAAAAAAGAAATTCACAAGCTAGAATTTTCTATTACTTTCGTGTTAAGAACTTTGTTATGATTACTTTTCTTTTGTAACAATTGATTTGATGTCATAAATGGCAACAATCATGCTATATCTAAACTTATTTGCTAATTTTTGTATTATCGGATTGTGAGCAATGCTGCAATTTTCATTTATTGCATAATGCTCTCAAAACATGTCCAAAGCACATTTGTTCCATTACTCCAAATAAAATTACAATGGTAACTAGATGTAAGTTTGTAAAACCCATTAAAATTTAGTTATCCATTCTTGATTTCTGGCAGCCTTTGCTGATTAAGCTCTTAACTCAAATATACAGTATTTGAGAAAGTGACGAAGAACGCAGTTCGTGGAATATGGGTTCGACGCTCTGAAATTGATCTTGTTGGTGCCCACATAAATGTTTTTACTGGGGAATGGACACAAAAGGTGATTTTTCAGTTTCTTCGGCAGTCAAAGGGAGTTGCATCTCAAAACTTTTCAACAATTACTTTTTAATCTTATTTAAAAGTAGTACATATGTTTGTTTCCGGTACGCTCTATGCATAAGTGAGCATGACTCTTCTGTGAAGGTAATCTACTTCTGCGTGACAAATTGTTGCAAAATTTATTTTGTACTGAATCAGTAGTTCTGTACTTCACTTTCTCAATTCTAATATTGAAATGTAAACTGAAGACCATAGCTTTGGGGCGTACTTTATATTGTTATTATGATATGTGAATTGTATGGCCTCTGGAACTTCATGGTCAATTTGACATGTGTAATTACTGTGCATATTAGAATGTTTCTTTTATGTAGGAAGATCTCATAATTGAATATTTGAATTTACTTAATGAACTGTCCTCTTTCCAATCCACTTTCGAAGCTTTTTCTTTGGCTTTAATAATCCAAATGTTTTAACTTTATCATTCTGCAGTTATAGTGACTTCTATAAAATATCTACTAGGTGACGATGAACCATGTATTAGGATGAAGAAATTTTAGTGAGCACTGGTAATGAGATTTTAAGCAATCAAGGCATATCATCGGTGGTTTCTGTTATTAGTTTTAGTTAGTAACTATTATCAAATGCCTGGATACGGATTCATCATCATCATCATTTGGGGTTGGCTACATAATCATGATTCACCATTCTGCTCTATCAAGGGCCATACAATGAGTCAGACTATAAGTCACCATTTCTATTCTCATTACTTCCACCATGTCCTTTTGGGCCTTCCTTTTGCTTTTTAAGAGCCTTCCACTTGAACCAAATCGCTCCTTTGAACCAGTGTTGTATTAGGGCCATGTTGCACATAGCCGGCCCACTTAAGTCTACATTCCCTCATCTTATTGACTTTTGGAGCCACCTTAATTTCCCTGATATGTATTCATTTTGAATTCTATCTTTTCTTGTCATGCCACTCATCTATCTCAACATCTTCATCTTAGCTACACTCATCCTATGGATATGTTATTTCGTGACTGCCCAACATTCCATCCAATAAGGCATAGCTGGTTTTATAGCCGTCCTATAAAACTTCACCATCAATTTTATTGGTATGCTGCGATCACATAAAACTCTGGATGCACATCTCCATTTCACCCACCTAGCTGTAATTCTATACGCGACATCTTCTCTATGTACTCTTGGACTATCAACCCAATTGGATAAGTGGGAACACCATATCATGGAATCCTTACTTTCTCAGGGCTCTAAGTGACTAAGAGATCCCTACCGTCCTCAAAACTCTCCTCCCTTCTCCATTCCTCTTCTCTCTCTTCTATCTGCCTTCCTCATATGGATCCCAGCTTCTACAAGCATCGTCTCAGTATCCTCCTTTCATCGCCTTATCTCCCCCCTTACTATACTGTCCTTGTGACGGTCAGCTATTGCCAAAGCTTGGATCAAATTTATTTCTCCTAGACTACAGGTCTTTAATTGGGTCGGGCTTTGGGAAAGAATTCTCTCCGTGAACCAACTACAAAGAAAAGGCCTGCAGATCCCTAACAGATGCGCTATGTGCCTATTGGAGGAGGAAACAAACTCCCACTTATTCATCCATTGCACATTTGCGAGCCAGCTCTTGAAGCACTTGCTTCAACAATTTGGCTGGTCATGGGTCACACCGGAATCAGTTCCGCAGCTTTTCCAGCAAATATTGTTTCTACCATGGCCCAATTCAGGTGCTATGCTTTGGAAGACAGCCGTGGCAGCCATTCTCTTGTCGATCTGGAAGAAACGCAACAATAGAATCTTTCGGGGGCAGCAGTCTCACCATCAAAAAGTGTTGGAATCCATCAAGTCCTTGGTGATCTTCTAGGCCACCAACCATATCCACTTCAAGCTTCTCTCAGCCTTTGACTGTCACCTCAATTGGACCACCATTCTTCATCACAGGCCTAGACAAGTGACCCGTGCTTCCCCTCTGGAGACACCCTCGGACCAAGACCACTCCAAACTCAATTTTGACGGTTGCTCCCTTGGTAATCCTGGCTCAGTGGGCATCGAGGGCATCTTTAGAAACCACATGGGCCTCTCCCTTCTTACCTTCCCCTCCCCTATCGGCATTGCGGATTCCACCTTGGCGGAATCCCGTGCCTTTCTGGAAGGCCTCAAACACTTCACCCTTCCTGAAGCACTGTTTTGATTGTAGAGGGTGACTCAAGAAATGTAATTTCCTGGGCCTCTCGTGAGGCTGCCCCACTCTGGAGTCTATTGACCATCTTTAATGAGATTTACTACATTTCCAGGCATATACAGGTCTCATGGATGCATATCTAGGGGGAGGCCAACCAAGTGGCCGACACTCTGGCCAAGCAAGGCGCTTCAATGGAAGTGACCTAATCTATGTTGTTATGCATCTTACGCCCCATTTTTGTATTACCATTATCTCTTTTTTGTATTTATTGTATCCGCTTGTATTGCAGATTTTGGTTTAATGCCACATCCTCAGTGACTGTTTTTGGCCCAGGAGTAGGCAGTTTTTATATATTGTAAACTCTTATACGTAATACAATGTTAACAATTTCAATATATATATGGAAAACTCTTCCCAACGTGGCGAAAATGAACAATGATTTCGTCTACCCTCATCACCGTGCAAACTTCATCCCACGGTCACAGTTGTCTAGTAGTGTTTCAATTTTTATTTATTTTTCTACAAATTCATATTACTTGAAATTTGGAGCGTGTGTACATCTTAGTGAGGTACACCTAATAAAAATATGAAAAAAATAATTTGTAAAATATACATTGACCAAAATACCCTCAAAAATTTACGGGGGTATTTTGGTCAATTTAAATTTTGCGAATTGTTTTTTTCATATTTTTATTAGTTGCGCCTTACTAAGATGTACACACGATCCAAATTTCAGATCATTCCGATTAGTAAAAAAAAAATGAAAATTGAAACACTACCGGACAACTGTGACCGTGCGCTAAAGTTTGGATGGTGATGAGGTTAGGCGAAATAACTGTAAATTTCCGCCTATAGGCGTTTTGTAGTATTTTCCTATATATATATATATTGAAAATATTATCTTTTAGGTATTTCTTAGCCATCATCTTAACTACTTCCTCATTTCTAGTTCTATTATTATTAAACTTGCATTCCATATGGTTGTATCATGGATTAAAATAAATGGGAAATACATTGGGAGTATGAAACTTACCGTTCCTGCTCTATTTTTAATTATTCTCACATCTTTTTCTGTAGGATGCTGGAATAGGGACAAGTATTGACTCCTTCTACGAGTATCTTCTGAAAGTAAGTTCTTATAACCCAAATTTAAATAAAGAAATGCAAGTATTGTACTGTTCTTGGATACTATGTATTTGCAATGTGTATCAGAAGTAGTGGGCTTGGAATATATGCTGGATACAAAGTGAAATAGTTACCAAACTAATTTTTCACAATATTGGCATACCTCAGCCCTGTATACATTGGATGTGGAAATAGTTATCAGATTAGTTCAACAACCATACTCTCAATAAATTCTCCCAAGTGATATTCCTGTTGTTAATTGCCCATATGACTCTTCCTCTTAATTTGATAGAAATTGATTGTACGGGTACAAGTGGTCTCTAATCCTAGGAGAAAGTATACCAAGAATGGGTAAAGTTCAAACATATGAGTGCACAAATGACCATACTACTCCTTATGATGGATGTGCAACAGGCATAAAAATGACAACTGCTACTAATTATGCAAAATACGAATGTAAAAGTACTCTCAACGGTTCATACTTGCTGGTTGATCATTATAAAAGTGTGTTCCCAGCTGACCAAGTCATTGAGCTCTACAATCCTAAAGATTACTCGAGAAAACATCGACATGTTTTATTTGAGTTTAGCTTCTAGATACTTATGCATTATTGTGTCCATTATTGTTTTCATGTTTATTATTAAGCAGGCCTATTTATTATTTGGAGATGAAGAGTACCTGTACATGTTCCAGGAAGCCTACAGGGCTGTAATGCACTACCTGCATAATGATCCTTGGTAACCTGCTTTGTTCTATATTCTGTAGTTTGAACTACTGTTTCTTGGAAGTCATTATATTTTTGTACAGAGTTCAAAGTATTATTAGGGCCATATCTGTAGGTATGTGGAGGTCAATATGAATTCTGCTGCTGTAGTGTGGCCGTTATTCAACAGTTTACAGGCATTCTGGCCTGGTCTTCAGGTACTTACATCCTCAATGCGTAAATATGAAGCTATGGATTTATTTTATAGTGTGCAACTTATATGTTTAAAAGAATAAATAACTGACATACTGTTTCTTTTTGAAAAGGTTTTAGCTGGGGACGTTGAACCTGCCGCACGTACACACAAGGCCTTCTTCAGTGTTTGGAAGAGGTACGGTTTTACCCCTGAGGGTTTTAATCTTGCGACATTCAGTGTTCAGGTATAACACTCAGCCGTACACTTAAGTTTAAAGTTTAATCAATTAAACCATGATATTTATGTGATACATTATGTATTCCAGAATGGTCAGAAGAGCTATCCGTTGCGACCAGAGTTAATTGAGAGCACATATTGGCTATTCAAAGCCACAAGAGATCCAATGTTAGTATTAAATCCAATTAAACTGTTTTCAATAATTACATGCTGTACTGCTCCATTGTTTGCTGCATCCGTAATTTATACACGTGTTTTTCCTATTGTAAGAAATGCTATCACGCTCCAGTTCTGCAAAATGCAGAAGATGCGCTTCTTCTTTGGTTATGGGACCATACATCTTGAAAATCGAGTTCTCGAAATTCAATTTTTAAAATTGATGACAATGCATCTCAATTTTGCACGAGCTTTACCAGCTTGTTTCCATAGAGCAATAAATCTTCCTTCTCAAATCGTATGATGAACAAGCTATGTTTAAATGTATAGCATGAGATTTTTGGGAAATCAGTTTCTATGACACCAATGCAGCCCAAATTTTTTATTATTGCTTTGTGCTTACTAGACATTTTGAAACTGCTTTTGAGGTACATGAAGTTTCTTTTTCTTCATAGCCTCCCCACCACATCTGTGAGATTTCTTATGTGCCGGTAAAAATTTATCTGTTCTTCCTCGCTTTCTTTGAGGAATTCTACAAGAAGGAGGCCCTACACAAGGCTCTCAATGCAACGTTCATAGCCCTTGTTCCCAAAGTCGAACGGGCTGAGGAACTCAAAGACTTCCATCCCATAAGCCTCATCAGCAGCACTTACAAAATCCTCTCCAAGGTCCTCGCCTCCTTGCTCAGAGAGGTATTACCCCAGCAAGGGGCATGGGCTTTTGCTAAGGATCGCCAAATACTTGATGGAGCCCAAGTAGCCCATGAGTGTTTACACTCAAGACATCTCCAAAACCCCTTGTATCATCTTAAACTTGATTGGGAAAGGGCATACGATCATGTTGACTGGGAGATCCTTGACGATACCCTATCTTGCATGGGTCCGGCTCGCGGTGGAGGCTTTGGATTCACAGTTATATTAGCAACCCCCACTTCTCTGTCCTAATCAATGGATCCCCCAAGGGGTTCTTCCCCTCTTCTCGTAGTCTTCCTCCTTGCAATAGTGGCAGAAGTTTTCACCCGCTCAATTCAGAGACTCTTCCATTTGGGTCTCTTGCATGGGTTCAATATCTCAGCTCACGGCCCACTTATTAGCCATCTCCAATATGCAGATGAGATGTTAGTCATTTGCAAAGTCTCCCCCCAGGAGGTTGACACCCTTCTCCTCTTCCTCGAGTGATTTGAATGGGCTACCGGTTTTAAAGTCACCATGAACAAGACAAAAATGATAGGGGTGGCCCTGGACCTCCCTTCTACCCAGGCCCTTAATGACCAATGGGCTCTCTAGCCAAGAACCTCCCCTCCACCTATTTAGGCCTTCCCCTCTGTCTTGGTAAACCTAAACATAGACTGTTGGCCCACATAATTGGCAAATTTGACCGTAAGTTTGCTTTATGGAAGGCCTGGTATCTCTCTTTTGCTGGTCAAGCCACCCTTATAAAGGCCACTCTGTCCAATGTGCCCATATACCAGACCCCCCTTTTTCTTATGCTAGCATCCATCTGTTCTTGGCTTGAACAACTCATGAGAAATTTCGTATGGGCCAGAGATGATCATCACCGAAAAATTCACCTTGTCTCTTGGGAGAAAATCTGCTCACCACATCACACAAGGGAGCTTGGCATTCAGGTTCTTAGGAAGGCAAACATAGCTTTGCTGGGAAAGTGGTGGTGGTGATACACCACCCAAGAAAACCACCTGTGGAGGAATGTGATTCGCCACAAATATCACCTCCACAACCAATCCTCTTGGGTGCCAAACTGCAGAGCTACCAGTAGATCCTCTGGCATTTGGCGATCAATCCTCAGCATTCTCCATCCTTTCAAAAACTTTACCCGCTTCCATCCAAGAGCCAGCACAAACATTAGGTTCTGGCTCAATCTTTGGATTGGCCAGTCCCCTCTTAAAGACCTCTTCCCCTCTCTCTGCCTTCTTGCACTCAATTGCCAAGCCACCGTAGCGGACTATCTCCCTCCCCATGGATCCTCAAGAACCTGGAGACGCTCACCCTCAGTTGAAGAGTTGCAGGAATATTTAGAACTTTCCTCCCTACTTCGCTCCACCTTTCTCCCTCTCTTTGGACCAGACTATAGATCATTTGGTGCCCATCACCTGCTGATGAATTCACACTCTCCTTTCTACAAAAAGCTTCTTGAACTACCTGCTTTCCCACATGCCCCTACCCCAATCAAAGCAAAAGCTTGGTGCACCCCTCCCCCTTCCACAAAGATCAAGGTATTCACGTGGATAGCCCTTGCTGAGAGGGTCCTCATGGTAGACCAACTGCAAAGAAGAGGTATACCTATCCCCAACTGTTGCACCCTATGCCACGCTGTGGAAGAAACCAACGCACACCTCTTTCTCCACTGCCCTTTCGCATATGAATTGTGGGGTGCCCTGCTTCGACACTTTGGCAATGGGTGACTCCTTGCTCGTTTCCCTCCCTCCGCCCTCTTCCTTGGGCAAATTCTGGAATCGTGCTTTGGAAGACCTCAAAGGCAGCCTCACTTTGACCGTTTGGATCGAGCACAACAATAGGATATTTCAGGGTGATTCATTATCCCCAATGGCCCGCTTTGACAACCCAGGTGATATTTTGGGCCTCCAATCACCCCCTATTCAAAGGCTTCCCGTCCTCGGCATTCCATCAGAACTGGCAGGCCTTGCTTCACCTCGAACATCAGCAACCTTCTCGTGCGTCACTCTGGAGACCCCTTGAGTATGGCCTAGTTAAACTGAATTTTGGTGGCTGCTCCTTAGGTACCCAGGCCCTGCTGGGATTGTAGGCCTTTTCCAAAATCACCAAGGTTCTATCCTGGCCTCTTTCTCGAAACCCATTGGCCATGCTGGTACCCAATCAGCAAAGGTGCTGGCCCTCCTTGAAGCGCACAAACCTTCCTGGAGCCCTGGACTGATAATCGAAGGTGACTCTCGGAATACTATTGCCTGGGCTTCAGGCTCCACTGCTTGCCCTTGGTACCTGCTGCACATCTTCGATGAAATTTCGACCTGACAAGCTCCCTCCCTTACTTCTGGAATCATGTTTGGCGAGAGAGCAACACAGACGCAGATGCCCTTGCCAAGGCTGGTGCTACCTCAGCTAGCGATTGAGTGGATTTTTTTAAGTCTCAGTCATTTCTTAGATTGCAGCCCCTCCCCCCACCGCCCTCCCCAGCCCTCCTCTTCTTTAGAATCCCCTCTCTTGTCTTCTCCCACCCTTTGAGGTGTTGTACGAAGCGTCCCTCTCAGGGGGAGCCAATTTTCGATGTACATAGCTTCCTTTGCAGAATCACATTTTTGTACTCGATGTCCTTTAATACAATACACTTTCAATATATATATATATATTTGTGCTGGTTAACTATGTTCGGAGGACTGATGGCTCCCCATTTTCAAAAATGGCCAATAAATAGTACCGATGACCATTTGTGCTTCACCATTTTTCTGAGGGAAAGGATACACTAATCTCATAGACTATAGAAAACTATAATTTGTTGCAGCTAGCACTGCCCCATGAAATGATTTGACTTCTGTGGAGAAGGGGAAGCTACCATCAGGGCTATCTTCTATTCTGGTGGGGCCCCCTCCCTCCATCACCATCCATCATTGCATTGGATAGTGATGACCCCATCCTTTAATACAATACAGTTGAGACTTCAAAAAAAAAAAACGTAAAGTATTTGTGCTGGTTAGCTATGTTCGGAGGACTGATGGCTCTCCATTTTCAAAAATGCCCATGCCCAATAATAATACCGATGACCTTGTGCTTCAGCATTTTCTAGAGGGAAAGGATACACTAATCCCATAGACTATAGAAAACTATATTGTAGCAGTCACCATTGCCCCATGAAATGATTGACTTCTGTGGAGAAAAGGAAGCCACCATCAGGGCTGTCTTCTCTTCTGGTGGGGCCTTCCTCCCTCCTTCGCCATCCATCATTGCATTGGACAGTGATGACTCCAATGGACTAAAATTTTCCATAGTGCATGGGATATATTATGTTGTCCTTCTGATTGAGTATTTTCTTCCATCATCTTTATTTGGTTATTGACTCCCATCAATTAATATTTATACTCCGCATATGCAGGTATCTTGATGCTGGACGTGACATGGTTGCTAGCTTGCAATATGGTGCCAGGTGCCCGTGTGGATATTGCCATATCACAGATGTGGAGTCTCACAAACAAGAGGACCATATGGAAAGCTTTTTTCTTGCTGAAACAGTACGGGTCATGTAATATAGCAGATTCTAGTTCTGTCTCTGTCGAAAGTTCTTTTTTAAATGCTTTCTTTCGAAGCTTTGTGAAGTACTTTTGAGTAGTCTATAATGTCCTCTAATTGAAAATGATTTCAGGTTAAATATCTGTGGCTTCTTTTTGATTTGGCTGTGAGTGCAGACAACATGGTCGAAAATGGTCCTTATAGGTACAAAAAACCTGCAAGCAGTATTACAATTAAAATGCTTTTTATTTTGTTTTCTAACTGACTTCATGTGGGAGATGTTACACGTATAGGTATATATTCAGCACAGAAGGCCACTTATTTCCCATATCTCCTGAGATATCTCTGGTAGAAGAGCACTGTTCATATTTTGGGGCATTTTGCAAGGGCAAGGAGAGGCATACACATAAAAAATCTGATGCCTATGATCATCTTGAGACAAACAAAACCAGAATATATTCAGATGGGGGTCAAAGTGTTTCACTCCAATCAGAGACTTCAATTTCTACCTCTGGGTTTATCAAGGTTGCTCTCAGTTTGTATCCACATGCGGCTTATTGAAGTGAAATTATTATAATCCATCAGACTACGGGAAACCCACTGCTGTTGGATTGTCAACACCCATTGAAATGGACAATGATGGGAGTGTCGGACCAACCAGAGCAAGTGATGAACCCAAATGGTGTGCCGTCTCAAATGGTGTGCCGCACATTCTCTCCATCACAGTCGATCATTATAATGGGTGGTACCGACCCATGGTCCACTGGATTATACTATGCTTTGTACTTTATAAGAAAACCCCTAAATTAAGGCCTATATCTGAATGCTTATCTCATATTGGGTGTTGCATCTTTCAGGGGCTCTGCCCAGGGGTGTCCCATAGGAGGAAGCTTGGCATAACCTATTCAACAGATGAAGGGAAACAAATGAAGAAAATGCACATCGATGACTCTAGACATTCCCACCATTTTCAGGATTTGCAAAGGCCTTCCTCGATTCGAATTTCTAGTCTGAAACACAAATATGTAGTATTATATAATGAGGGTGATGAGAGGAAAACAGATACTTCAAATCAAGTGGCCTCGACTGATGGCCATGACATGGATAGGGGAGATACGGTGCCTAATTCAAGTGATGATTCCCTGCCTGCAAGAACTATTGCGGCTTTCTAGTGAATACCCAATTTGATTGGGGTATCATCATCAATGAACTGGGAATCTTTCGAGTTGTCCATTGTATTGAATTAAAGCTCAAGTTTTCCATGAAAAACCTTCATTATTGGGTTCAGGTATGCTATAAAACTGACTGGACAAGTTGAATGATAACTGCATTGAGTTACAAGTATGATTCTGTGATTACAGCTTCATTTTAACGGTGATTGAGCCACAATTTGCTATTACTTTGTGTTGAAACCATCCCTAATTTGACATTTGTCCACACTATATATTTGTTGACCAACTTTGCTTCGTCTTTCCTGATTTTGCAGTGAGATAGAGTAACTTGGAAGAGAATGTGAAATGGACCTCAATGATTAAACTGCGACGGAACAGGGTTAAGAAGTCTATACTAATCTGATTACCATGCCTTGAAGCATCACACTAATTCTTTCTTGATTTAGAAATTTGAGGTTGCTTTAAATTCATATAATTGTTCTCTTTATCACCCAAAAAAAGATATAATTGTTCTATGAATTTTGCTTTCAATTTCTTGTGATGTATGTCTCACATGTGGCAGACTAACTGAAAGAATTCATTCTTGCTTGATAGATGAAGTCAACATTTTAAGATTCAAAAAGATGATGTTGATAATATTAATATTAATCAGTCTCTGAACCATATTTTGAGGGAGTTCAATTCTCTTCCAAAATCATGAGTGCAGATTAATAGTTTTAACATTGAATATCTCCTCCATTGACATTGATGTTATCGTGCTTCGTTTTTTCTTTCTAATCTTCTTCCACTGGATTTCGTGTATGCCTTTTTTTTGGATATGTTAATGCGGGAATGGAGGGTGGGACGTTATGTTGAGGCATCCCAAACCCCTTTGACCACGGATGCACCAACCCCATTCCCAAGACTTGGTGTATTACTTTTGTTTCTGTTTGTCTACACCATGGGATATCCAAAACAGAGTGGGATCAAATTATTAAAATGCCTTTGCCTGTTCTAGATTTGAAGCCTGGAATAAGATACTTCAATGATAAAATAGACGTGTTTGGTACTTGGTACAAGCGGGGGTAGTTTCACTACGTGGCTCGATTACTTAAGTCTGAGTCGAATGACGTAACAACCTTTGATTGATGTGTGTTCCAATCCTTGTACAAGAGGTTTCAATGAAAAAGATGTTGTATGGAGGGGTGCAAATGGGGCTACCAGGGCTTGAAATTAGGGCCTGGTTGCTCAATGAATGAGCCTAAGCCTTGGAATAAAGGCTCTATGTAGCCTCGTTATTTGACTTTTCAAGTTGAAAATGGATGCAAACAGGTCGGCTTGGAAACCGGCCTTGAAGGTTTCGTTTGGCATGGATTGGGCTCATCAGATCAGGCTCTACACGTCTTTGCTAAGCCTAGTTGCTTGAACCCCTAGCTTTAGTTTGGAAACCAAAATAGGCAGGGTTTTTTATGTATTTGACTTGAGCTATAAGTAGGAAATATATAAAAATAGAATACGAGTTCATTATTCTAAATCTAGAATACGAGTTCATTACCATCATTCAAGTTTTATCCGAATTATTTTGAGATGGCTACATGAATCATGTTTCTTCAGTTTTCACAATTATTAAGGTGTCATACTCTCAACAAAACTTAATATTTTTTAAAAAATCCATCTTCATTTTTGGTGGACAAATGATGCACCATTTGATGAAATTTTTAGGTTATGGTGATTTCTTCATACAAATTCTTTTGAACCTACTCTAGAGTATTTATTTATGTTTCCAAGGAATTTAAAAATAGCAAACTAAGTGGTTTGGGATGAGGGTGAGATAGGATGTAAGGTGAGTCTCCCTGGATGAGAGAGAGCTTCGAGCTTACCTCCTTTAAGTTTGGATATGATTGACCAATAAGACGTTTCTAAAGTTTTGGGGTTAGTCTACTTTGAAACAATGACAAATCTATATGTGAAGAGGGTAAATCTAAGATATTGCATTTCAAAAAATGACTTCTTTGGGTTGTTTATGATTGTGCCTTTGTTCTATTAGGCCTGGCAATGGGCCGGCGGTCTGATTCGGCTCGGTCAGGCTGAGCCCAAAAAACTATGGCCTATGCCAGAAGATGTGGCTGACGGCCAGGCCACCACAACCCAGGGTAGGGCAAGGCAGCCTTGTTGGCTGGCCCTTATTTACTTACTTTTTATTTTTTATTGGATTGTATTTGGACAGGCCCAGCTCTGTCAGGACCAAGCTCAGGCTAAGGCCGAGACCACTTCACCCTGGTTAGAGCCATGCCGGCTTGGGCTGACCTTGCCAGGATTAGAGCCGGGCTAAGGCCTAGCACGGGCCGTTGCCAGCCTTATGATCTCTCAAAGATGAGAAGGCCCACGGCATAGGGAAGATGGGAGAGAGTATTATTGGGAACCCAGGTGGTTGGAGTCTCCCTTTTCAAAGCCCATTCTCACCCTTCAAATAGCAAAAAGAGATGTCATTGAGGAGAATGAAGTAGTTGTTGTGAGACACATTTTAAAATTAATTTATTTATAAACCAATTTATTCTTCAACATCATCATCCGAACATTATTTTAAGTTTTCCACTATTTGAGTGCAAAAAGAGATGTCATTGAGGAAAATGAAGTACTTAGGTGTTGTGAGTCATAATTTGAAATTAATTTATTTATAAACCAATTTATTCTTCATCATCATCATCCGAACATTATTTTAAGTTTTCCTCTATTTGAGTTTGGAAATATGATCCATCATTCGTTCTTTACTAAAATGTTAATGGATGTCAATTTTTTATTAAAAGCTAGTTCTTCTTTTTTTCTTTTTATCCATGCCATAGATTATACACACTTAAAATTAGCTTAAAAATGCTCTAGATAAGTTGAAACAGATCCTTACTAAGGCTAACGGCATGAGTTAATACTAAGTTTGTTAGCGATAGAATTTAAAATTCACTTTAAAATTACCACAACGAGTATTTAAAAAATAAAATAAAATCTAATGCGTACAATAATATCCTGGATCGTCAATAACATTAACTTTGTTAGCGATAGAGTTTAAAATTCACTTTAAAATTACCACAATGAGCATTTAAAAAATAAAATAAAATCTAATGCGCGCTATAATATCCTGGATCGTCAATAACACCAAGTTTGTTAGCGATAGAATTTAAAATTCACTTTAAAATTACGACAACGAGTATTTAAAAATAAAATAAAATCTAATGCGTGCTGTAATATCCTGGATCGTCAATAAATTGGATGACCTCTGTTAACCCTTAAAATATGTTTTTTTTTCAGGCACGAGAAAGTCCATGTAAAATTCTTTTCTTTTTTAAATAAACAGTGTTTTCGAAGAAAGTGAATGGATTATACGTTCCCGCCGGAGCATACAATCTATTTGCTTATCCCCTTTTACCCTTTCCAATTTCCATATTTATTGGGAGGAAATAGAAAGAACGGTCCTCGGTCTCCTTCAATGGCTCTACTAACATCTTCAACTCTCGTCGAGACCTCCTTTAATACCCACCTCCACTTCAACCCCCCCATCAAAAATCGCTTCTCTCAACCAAAAAAACTAGGGTTTTCCTCCAACCCACTTTCTCCTCAACTCCACCTCTCTCACATCAAATGCACCAGTGGCTATGGGGACTATAGAGAGGAGCAAGGCCATGTGGTTTATCCCAGACCTTCAGAGATTCAATGGAAAAAGGAGCTCGCCAATTCCGTGAACCTCATTGGAATCGTGGGCGCACCAGTTGAGGTCAAGTACCTGAACTCTGGTAAGATCCTGGCTTGGACTCGACTCGGTGTCAAGAAATCGGCCTCTGAGACCTTCTGGTTCGTATTATTAGTGTGATTTCTTTCTGGGTTTTGGTTTCCTAGTGAAAAGGTTTCAGTATCTGTTGTCAAAGAATGCATTTTGATGCTTTTTTTAACTCTTTGTGGGACTCTTGGCTATTTTTATACTGGTTTATTATCCCATCTCTCATTAAATTGCAGTAGCATATTTCTTTCTTTTTTTATTTTTTATACTGTTTATATTACTCCTTTTTTATTTGGTTTGTTTGTTGGGTTGAAAGTATGGTTCAATTTTTTTCCCCATTTTTTAATGATCTGTTATTGATTTTATAGTGGTTTTGTGCTCAGCCTTCATGTCTCTACTTGGTACTTGGTGTTTTAACTTAGTTTGTTTTGACGTATGGAAGCCAGCACAAGCTTGCCTTTGTAACTGGGTTTGTGAGGTTTTTGTGACTTTGGTTGAGATGAATTGATAAATCTTGGTTGGGGAATTTGAAGTGGTTTCAATTGGGTTTCTGGAATTTTTTAGAGCTTGATCTGTTGAAGATTTTCTCGACATGGACTTGCAACTTTCTTTGAGTTTGGTCTGTTGAAGTAATTTTCTTGCTGCCTAGCCAAAGAAAAAAAAAGGAAGCAGCACTTTTTAGCTGGTTTTTTTATTTATTTAAATTTAAGTACTTTTTAACTGGTTTTGATAGGTTACTTGGAGTTAGGTCTATTGAGAATATAAATTATGGGCATTATTTCAGGGTAAATTTAACATTCTGGAATGAGTTGGCAAATGTTGCATTTCAGCACATAGAGAAAGGCCAGCAGATTTACGTGTCTGGTCGTCTTGTGGCAGACACCGTTGAGGGTGAGGACGAGAAGAGGCAGACATATTACAAGGTCGAAATTTTATTTTCTTATCTTGTATTAATAATGTTGCTTTATTCTTAATATAGTTTTGATACTCCATGAAATCCTATAAACCATTCTGTAACTTTTTGTTCAGTTGATGATAAGCTTTTCCTTCGGTGCAGGTTGTTGTGAGTCAAATTAATTTTATTGAGAAAAGCTTCTCGCCATCTACACTTTATGAATCAGAGGGAAACTTTGCCAGTTCTGGTGATTCTCTTTCTTTGCTCAAAACCCATTTCTTCTGTTTTTTCTTAAATCTCTTGGCTAACTAGTTTTAAAAGTGATCTTTGTGTTCTTATTGCATGGTATATCAGGTTCTAAGTTTGGAAATCTTGGTGGCTCAATTGAAGAGTTATGGCAAGCATTCTTTGCTAACCCTGTGGATTGGTGGGATAACAGGAAGAACAAGGTAAATCCACGCTAGATTCATTTCTTTCACAATAAAGGGTCACTAGAAAACTATGCAGTAATTTTTTGAGGCTGCACAGTTTCTCTCTGGCCATTTTCTGAGATTTAGCTCCTACGTTTGTATGCTATATATGGTCACATGTAATTGACCGACGTAATTAACTTCATTATTATTATTATTTTAAAACATTCAAAATCCAGGCAGATGATCGTCTCCACGAATTTTATTTTATTTTTAATTTGATTTTCCGTCTTATGTTGGTCATTTGAAGGCCCCCCATAGAGTAGTGGGTTGCTTATTAGTGTTTGTTTTGCCCCACATCTATGATTTGACAGAAGAACCCGAAGTATCCAGATTTCAAGCACAAGCATACTGGTGAAGCTCTATGGGTTGAGGGAAAATACAATCCCTCATGGGTGAAATCACAGCTAGCCATACTGGACTCAAGGATGGAAATGCTCCGTGCCAATGAGGCAACCATGGCTTCGTCCTTCATTTCTGGTGATGATGCGAGGCCTTTCTGAATCTGTTCACTATACCTTTTACTTAGAAAGGGCTGCCATGTATCTAGTTTGAAAGAAATTTTGGGTTCCTGGTTATTACTTGTTGATCTTCCATTGATGAGTTTCCCAGTTCTCTGAGGGTCTCCCTTTTAGAGCTTTTTGTCGAGTCTCAGATGCAAGGTGGGCACTTGTGGATTTTGTAAGCGAGGCTCTCTTATTTTTGGTACAGCGAGGTTTTACTTGTGTGTCACCACATGAGATTGTTACTTATACTCTGTGTGGTTTTGTATAAGGTAAATTTTAATGAAAATTGGGGTGTTTCTATCCTTTCGCATCAAGAACAAGGCTGCAGTAGTTTTGCATGCTCCATTAGTTCAAGGTTGTGACTTGCTGTAGACACCATATTATTTAGCTTCTCATCCTTTAAATGTAAACACCATATTATGCTGGCTTTTAATGTATACAGGAATTCCAAATTGATGATAGTGCTACTTGTGAGCACCCATGTCATCTTGCAGTCACTATTTTGGACCTCCCACCGTTGCTGCCTCAGCTTCAACGAGCAGCACCTGGGACCCATTCACTTCCCTTTCCCTAAAACACCCTGCCCTTGTATTTCTAGAGAAATGCAGAACAAGGAAACAGTTTAAGCAAATCCTTGCCCATATGATTAGGCTCCATCTAGCCTTCCAAACTTTCCCGATGAGTAGGCTCCTCTTCTTCTCTGCTGTCTCTCACCCTGAGAACCAAGACATGGCTTTCCTCCTCTTCCAACACCTCACTCCCCAACCCAACCTCTTCATCTATAACACCATGATCTCCTCTCTCTCCTCTCACAGCTTCCTCTCTCTCTACAGAACTTCTCAACCCTCCCTCTCTTTTTACAAATCTTGTAGTCTGTCCCACCCTCTCTACAAAACCTATAATCCCTCCCTATCTCTCTACAAGTCCATGCTTTTGGCAGACATCGCTCCTGATAAGCACACACTCCTTGCCCTACTCAAGGCCTCCCCATGCCTATCTGAGGTGAGGCAGATACACAGCCATGCCATAGCGACCGGCTTTTTCCCCTCGTATCCCTATCTCCAGAACGCTTTCATCAAGGTCTATTCGGATCGCCAAAGGGTAGATTTGGCAAGCCAGGTATTCAATCAGATGCATGATTCTCAAGATGTTGTCTCATGGAATTCCATGATCATGGGTCATGCACGCCATGGATGCCCTTACAAGGCTCTGTGGCTATTTCATGACATGGGAGTTGCTGGCATCATAGCTGATGAGTTCACCTTGGTGGGTTCACTCGTAGCATGTGGGCGTATTGAGGATGCATCCATGGGGAAGTCCATCCATGCATGGACCATATGTCATTGGGGTCCAAGTAATATCAACATGACTATGAGCAATGCCTTCATTGATATGTATGTGAAGTGTGGAGAATTGGGTTTTGCCAAAAGGGTGTTCAATGGGCTTATGGAGAAGGACATATTCTCGTGGAACACCATGATTGCAGGTTATGCAAAAATTGGAGAATTAGGTCTTGCTCTGAGGCTCTTTTATGAGATGCCAAGTCGGGATCAAGTCTCCTGGAACTCGATCATTGATGGGTATGCACAGAAAGGGAATTTTGGGGTTGTTATGGAACTCTTTGTTGAAATGCTGGCTCAAAATGCAGTACCGGACAGAGCCACAATCCTGAGCCTTGTCGCTGCAGCAGGGGAGGCAGGAGCTTTGGACCAAGGGAGATGGGTTCATGGGTGGGTGCAACGAGCCCATATTGACATGGACCCATTTCTATGTTCAGCTCTTATAACCATGTATTGTAAATGCGGTAGTGTAGAACATGCCAAAAAAGTGTTCAAACTTGCTAGAGAGAGGGATGTTTTAATATGGACCGCCATGATTTCAGGCCTCGCATTTCATGGATATGGAACTGATGCTCTTGGACTATTCTCACAAATGCAGAATGTGGGTTTAAAACCTAATGAGGTGACATTTATTGGAGTCCTTGCAGCTTGCAGTCACAGTGGAATGGTATCTGAAGGCCTTGGGCTTTTTGCTGATATGAGCCAACTTTATGGCATTGAACCGGGGGTTGCACACTATGGATGTGTTGTAGACCTTCTTGGTCGAGCAGGAATGTTAAAAGAGGCAAGTGCTTTGATTGAGAAGATGCCTATGAAGCCAAGCAGCTCAATTTGGGGTACCATTCTTAGTGCATGCAGAGTGCATGGAGAGGTGGAATTTGCAGAGGTTTCTATGAGGGAGCTGGTTAAGCTTGAGCCAGAGAGAGAAGGGGCTTATGTGCTTTTGTCGAATGTGTACTCAGCTTCTCAGAGATGGGGAGAAGCTCGTAGAGTCAGAGAAGCCATGGATAGAAGAGGGGTGAGGAAGGTGGCTGGGTTTAGTAGCATAATTGTTGATGGGGTCGTTCATAATTTTATTGCTTCAGATAAGAGGCATCCATTGAGTGATGAGATATATAGTGTTTTGCTTGATATTAGTAGAGAGATGAAGTCTGCTGTATATGTTTGTGGGTTCCAAGAGCTATGGATGGAGACAATTTTGGAATGAGGCCTGTTGCTTCAATTTGCAATGTATGCCTTGCCTTAGAGTAGTATTTTATGATCTCTCTCTCTCTCTCTCTCTCTCTCTCTCTCTCTCTGTCTTTGAAGCGCTTGTTTATGTGCGTCTTTCCTGATAACGCAGCTAGCGTCTTTACAATAGCTCTGCCTCCCTTTAAGGCGTAAATGCTTTTTAGGTGACCCTCACCCTACAAATTGTCAAATTATCTTATTTGGAGTATGTATAAACTTATACAACAGTTAGTGACATTTATATTGTTAAAAAATGCTTATTATAACGCCACAAAATCCTGAGGGTCGGAGGAAATTCTTTAATAAAAGGCTGTCCCTAAGGCTTTCAATGTGGAAAAGTTCGGCTAACACCTAAAAGGATTCGCCCAAGGGGAGGGGAGCCCTGTTTAACAACTGCTGCTAAGCGAACAAATTTATCACCTAAAACAGTGTAGGGTCTGTTAAAAAATAAATAAAAAGAAAAAAGAGTGTAGGTCTAACCAAAATTATTATTTTGTAGCAAGGGGTGTGGGTGTGGGGGAGAGAGAGCAAAAGCACCAAACCCACCCCAAGAGAGCTCCTAAATTTCAAGCCAGCGTACCATCTTTCTCCCTCCCTTCCTCCTAGACCAATCCTCAAACCATACATGACACACACATACACCATGCTTCCCACCTCACCCACCATACACCACCCCAACCTCCCTCCACCCCCGCCTGAGCTCACCCCAAAATGGCACGCCAAAGCAGCCTCCATGTCCGTCCACCCCTGCCTCACCATGCTACAAACATGCCCAAACATGAGGACCCTCAAACAAATCCATGCCCATATGCTTCGCCTCCATCTCGTATCTGATACCTTCTGCGTAAGCCGCCTCGTTGCCTTTTGCGCTCTCTCTCCCAAAGGCAGTCTCGACTACGCTCGCCTCCTCTTCTCTCAACTCCCTTTCTCTCTCATCAACTCCTTCATAACCAACACCATGATCAGAGGCCTCTCCAACTCCTCAAATCCCCATCTTGCCCTCGAATTCTACCGAAATTTACAGGCTGAGGGCCTCGAAACCGACCATCATGCCCCTACCTTTCTGTTGAAGGCATGTTCACGCATGGGGTCTGCCACGCTTGGCCATGCGATACATGGGAGAGCAGTCAAGACGGGGCTGGAATCTGACCTTTACATCGGGAATGCCCTGGTGCATGCTTATGCCAGCTTTGGTGAAGTAGATGATGCCAATAAGGTGTTTGATGAGATGCCTATGAGAGATATGGTTTCTTGGAATGCATTGATAAATGGGTATGTAGAAAATGCGCAATTTAGAGAAGCCTTCCAGCAATTTAGTAAGATGGGGTTGGAGAACTTCCAGGCTGATGAAGTAACAATGGTAGGTTTGCTCTCGGCATGTGGTCAGATGGGCGCCCTAACAATAGGCAGGGCGTTGCACGCACATGTCATACGTCAAGACCTCAAAATTGGGGTTGTATTGAACACTGCACTCATCGATATGTATGCGAAATGTGGGCAATTAAGGCTTAGCAGGAAGCTCTTTGATTCAATGCCTCAGAAAACTGTAGTCACCTGGAACACAATAATGGCTGGTTACGCTCAGGGTCGAGAGAGCAAGGAGACATTGAGCCTATTTGAAAGCTTACTGGGTTCAAATGAGGTCTGGCCTAATGCAATTACCATGCTTAGTGTACTCTCAGCTTGTGCTAATCTTGGTGCTCTCAAACAAGGACAGTGGGTCCACAAATATATAGAGAGGTATGGAGTGGTTATGGATGAGTTTGTGATGACGGCTTTGATAGACATGTACGCAAAGTGTGGGAGCATAGAGAATGCAAGGTCGGTTTTCAAGAGAGCCGAGCGTAGGGATGTGTCAGTGTGGACGGCCATGATCCAGGGTCTTGCCACTCATGGTCAGGGGAGAGAGGCCCTTGACCTCTTTGAGGAGATGCAAAGAGAGGGTGTAAAACCAAATGCGGTCACATTTGTGGGAGTCTTGTGTGCATGCACCCACTCTGGACTTGTAAATGAGGCACGCTATCTATTCAAGGCTATGGCTCAAGACTATGGAATCAAGCCCAAAGTGGAACACTATGCATGCATGGTGGACCTTCTTGGACGAGTGGGTCGGCTCGATGAAGCAAGAGCTCTAATAGAAAGCATGCCAGTAGAGCCAGACGAGTTTGTGTGGGGTGCTCTCTTAGGTGGGTGTAGGATTCATGGGAACATAGCTTTAGCCGAAGAAGCCATGGCTCAACTTGTGACCCTTAATCCACATAATGGTGGGGTTTATGTTTTGGGCTCCAATATGTACTCAGAAGTTGGTCAATGGGATTTGGCAGCCAAACTAAGGAAGAAGATGAGGGAGATTGGGGTCAAGAAGCCACCAGGGTGCACTATAATAGAAATGGGCGGCTTGGTTCATGAGTTTGTTGCTGGAGATTATGTGCACAAGAACGCCAAGGAAATACATGAGATGTTGGGTGAGATAAGGAACCGACTAGATGAGTTGGGCTACATACCCAACACCTCGGTTGTGGTGCTTGACTTGGATGAGGAAGAGAAGGAACGAGCACTAGGGGTGCACAGCGAGAAGCTGGCAATAGCTTTTGGGCTGATCAATACTGTAAAAGGGGAGGTTATTCGAATGGTGAAGAATTTAAGGGTGTGTGAGGATTGTCATGAGTTTTCAAAGGCAGTTTCGAGGGCATTTGGTAGAGAGATTGTTGTGAGGGATCGGACTCGATTCCACCACTTCAAAGATGGTTCATGCTCATGCAAGGACTTCTGGTGAGTTGTACTCAGCTTCTGCAACCATAAGGAAAATGGGCAAAATTTCAAGGGTGAGGCAGCCTTTTTCCAAATCAGGCAGGAGCAGTCCTTAACAAGCCAAAGCCGAATGAAAATAGGTATTTTTCAAGAGCTCCTATAGCCTTGTAGGGCGCAGAGGGAGGGAGGGAGGGAGGAGGGAGGGAGGGCGGGCAGCCAATTATGTCAGAGACTCATCACCCTCGATTTTCTCTTCATCATTGAGACCGAGATGCCACCCTTCCATTCTTTTGTTCCATTTCTCCATGTTCAAATAATTCATCAAATTGGCATGCGTTTGAATGGACGGTTCAGATGCAATCCTGTGCTATGTTACAAGATGCTGCATGCATCACAAATGGGTTCAAATCTCTTAAAAAAAATAAAAAATAATAACCAAGTACCCTGATTATGGAAAAAATGAATAAAAAGTCCCTTTTTCTGAATTCAGTGACCAAAATGCGTTCCATTGATTATGGAAAAAATGAATGAAGTCCCTTATTATGTAATCAGTGACCAAAGTGCGTTCCATTGATTGCTTATTTATTAATGTCTTACGACACGTTGAGCTGACACATGAAACCAAAACTCAAAAGTTCAGACATAGAGGCCAATGCCACATGACGGCAGTTTCAGTAACTTTACCCTTGCTGCAGTACACATTATCGTCAATCACAATAAGAAACAAAATTTTCACAAAGCTGAAGGTCAAATTGAAGAAAATTTGTCAGCCCATACCCTGATTCTCTCTCAAAGGAGTCAAAGCAGTTACACTCAATTGTGAGAATAAACCAAACCTATCGTGCAGATACCCCGCACTGCCCCACCAATAAACCAAAGCTCAATTAGCACTACAATCTGTACAAGAGATAACCTTCCACTACAACCATTTTACAGGAGCCCCACCCCCATTCACACCAAAATACACCAATGCCCCACCCCTGGAAATCAATTGAAAGTACAGCTCCTTTAGGTCCAACTTCCTCTCCTTTCATTTCCTGCACAAACTCTCCACCTGCCCTCATAGACAAACAATCCACAATATCCATAAAAATTTCAAGATCTCCAAACAATCAATCTCCACTATGCAAATGCCTCAATGGAATCACAATTGGAGCACTGAAACATGAGGGGCCATTCTTCTTGTCACAAGCTTCAGAAAACTTCGAAATACTAACCAAAACAAATCTCAATCACCTTATGCTTTAAATGACCTATCATGAAGTTCTAAACCCAGCTGTGGCCGAAGAAGCACCCTAAGATCCTCCATCCCTAGGCTGCTGCAGCGAGGCCAAGAGTGCACGCTGAAGGGTCTCAGCCACCATTCTCAACCTCCCTTGGCTCAAGTCAGCACCGGGAGGAGCAGCCCCACTCCCATATAAGTCCACAGCCCTAACCACCCTTTGCCTACACCTGTCCCAATCCTCAACCCTAGGCCAACAGGCCCTTCCCCCATGGCTCCCCTCAACACCAATCAAAGTAACATGATTACTCTCTCCAAACGAATATCTCAACCTCACCAAAACACAATGGGGAAGCCAGGCTGCCCCTCCAGCCGCATTCACGTGAGGGATATGGGTTGGATCAAGCACAATGGTGAGGCCGAAGTCAACAGAATTGTTAAGGCGATTGTACCTTATGTTGCTTTTGGAGGTGCCCAATCGTGAATTCAGAGGCTTTTCGTTCGAACCTGGAACTTCTTCAGGTGACCAACTTCCATGGTTTTCAAGGCAGAGCTCGACCCGAGGCCTCTGTGTGGGACCTGCAGCTTCACCTCCAGCCCCACCACCCGGTTGTTGCTGCCCCTGTGCTTGAGATAATAACCCTTTCTTCCAAGCTATGAGCTTGAGGAATTCTCGGAGAACAGGTATGGGCAGAGTGAGCAAAGTGATGAAAGATGCAACTCGAGAGGCGTCGTAGGGTTCGGAAGCTACTCGTCGACTGAAGTAGTCACATATCTCAGCGATTTCGGATTGCGTGAGCTCCTCCTGTGTTGAGACAGTTTGGTTCTGGTTTGGTTGTTGCTGTTGTTGCTGTTGAGGCTGCTGGTGGAAGCGTTTCACACTCAAGACTTGAAGTAAGAGCTGAACCCTGTGCACACTCACTGCAAAGACGTAGCCACTGCAAAACAATAATCAAAGGGCATAGTGTGCATTCATCAGACAGGGAGAATAAGAATATGCAAAGCCATCCCCCCCTCAGTTCCCTCTACAAATTTTCAGTAATTCAAGAAGTCACCTAACCCTTCTATGAAAAGGAAAAGTGAAACATAATAAAACCACACAAAACAGATCCTGTCAAAACAGATATACTGGCTAATATGATATAAATCCTTTCCCTCCATTGCATGTACAAAACCTCTCAAATGTCATAACTAATACAAAATTTATAAAAAACACAAACAGAATCAGCTTTAAGACGGAATACATATATTATATCACATGGACTTGTAAGGGGCAGCCCCTAATCAAATTTTAAGCAAAAAATAAGGTAACCAAAACTTTCTAAACAATTCCACAAAAAGAGTCATGGCTAAAATGTTGACTTGAATAGGCATTTTTGAAAAAGACTAAGATATTTAAATTTGTATCATCAATATCCTTAGTTTAGATTTTTTTTAAAAAAAGTAAAGCTTAATAGGCCACCTTAACGTAAAATATAGAAGTAACTATATTTTTTAATTTAAAAATCTTAAGAAGCCCAATTCCTCAAAACCAATAATCACTCCAAAACAATAGAAAGTGGGTCCAGCAAGCATATCTTTTTGGTGATGTATAGCTTTTTGGTTCATGTAGACCTATTCGTTCATATGAAAATCAGGAGATGGTACCATACCCAACAAATAAGGCCAATGCATAAACCTATTGGTTCATAAAATTTCAAGAGATGGTACTGTACCCAACAAAGAAGCGCAGTGCAGGCTGCTCCTGGTCCAAGTTCAAAAGCGCCCCTTCATTATCCTTCAAAATCGAACCAAGGATATCTTTCAACAGATTGGGTAACTGTGCAAACAGCCACAACACTCCGAGGTACTTGAGAATACCACGAAGGACCTTCTTAAGAGCAGCAAGGGGCACCCATCCCCCCCCATAACCTCCATCATCACCGAGTCCAATAAAAGCAGTGTTCAGTTCTCCTCTCACATGAACAGGAAGGCCCGAACCTGGAGATATACGCATAGGAAGCCCTGGATTCACAGCACCTGAACCCGAAGGCCCCACCAAATTTGGGTTCACTCTATTTAAAACAGCCCCACTTGGCCCAATTGCTCTAGGTATTCCAGCCGAACTTGCAGGGTTGGGTCGAGCCCCAGTTGTTGGTGGTGGAGCTTGTGAAGTAATCGAAGTCAAAGTAGGGTTTCCACTGCTTGAGTTTACAGAAGTACTTGAAGCGGCACCACCAATGAGATTAGCATCCAAAGTGTTCAAACCCTGAGCTACATGCTCCATTATAAAGGGCCTAAACTGAGGGCAAGGTAATGAGCCCCCTGCCTCTGGCCCACCCTTTGGGGGTGTAGCTGGTTGTAGCCAAACATGGTCTCCCGCAAAGCATCTCATATCAACCGCAAAATTTTTACGATAAATTATGCGAATCCAGTAGGGGCTCCTAAGAACAACAGAGACATCAATAGGTAGCAAGGTGCTAGGAACAATACCAGGCCCTCCTCTACCTGCAACCGATAGCATAGCAGCACTTTGTGTAATATGATTCCCGATAGGACCCAAAGCAGTGGCGTTTCCAGTTGTGATATTCAATGGGTTTTGATGGGGATGTGATGTATTATTGCTTTGGACTTGGCCCTGAGATGCAACAAAAGTGTTGGGTTTATTACCTGCTTGAACACTCCCACCCATGGTGATGTTTGGCATTGCAGAGCCAGGGCCAGACATCCGAGCAGGGCGAATCGCACCAGCCAGAGCAAGCAATGGCCCTGCAGTGAGACGGATACAGTCCAAGAGTGATGCCACTTCTCCCCCATTGATAAAATCTTCCAAGAACTACAGAGAAAATACACAAAAATTAACACATGAACCAAAAATCTTCTAAAAACTGCTTATTAAAACAAAATTTTAAGCAATTAGACAGGTACCATCCTTTTCTATTATTCGTGGCCTATTGGCCATGCCGACTCTAACATGGCAGAGGCCTTAGTCCTACTCGAAGGACTCAGAAACATCAACCCTGCCTGGAACACTACTCCCATTGTAGAGGGGGACTCAAGAAATGTTCTCTCGTGGGCTTCTAAAGCCTCACCTTGCCCTTGGAGACAATGTTTTCAACGAAAACTTTCACATTTGTAAGGATTTACTCGTCTCTCGGAGACACCTGGAGGGAGGCCAATGTGGCAGCCGACTCCCTCGCTAGGAAGGGTGCCTCGTGAACGGAAGTATCCTAGGGGGACCTATTTTTTTTTTTGAGAAATATCCTAGGCGGACCTATTTAGCAACTTATTGTGCTTGAACTTTCTGTACACTTGTATTTCCAGATTCAGATATTTTTGACAACCTGTAGGGGGATCGATACCATTTTTTTGGACCTGTTGGGGTTTTTGTACAGGGCACCCATCTTGTGGGTCCCTTAGACTGCTCTTTGCAATTGTACTTTTTGAAACTATTCTCTCTCGTCTTCTCTCTGCCTGTAAATCTCTTTCCCCTCTCTTTCTCCTACTCTCTCTCTCTCCTCAAGAAGCAAGGGTTTCTCTCTCTCTCTCTCTCTCTCTCTCTCTCTCTCTCTCTCTCTCACATATCTTACTCCTCCAAGGGGCAAAAGTTTCTCTTTCTCAAAGACAAGCTGAAAGTACAAGCTCCTTCAAAGAACCTCTTCTCATTCATCTCTATTCGCTGTACCCTCTTTCATTTCCCAACTGAAATCACAGCCTTTATCAAAACTCCCATTTTCAGTTGCCCATTGGGAAGAAGAAAGAAGAGGAAGAAATGCGCCATTAAACGTCCCCAAGCTTCTTGGCAATTAGAGAAGAAAACTCTTTAACCAATTTTCGTGAAGAGGAACTCTATGCAGAACTTGATACTCATCTTGAAGGACACTAATAATCTTCTTCTTCTGGTTCAAGTTAGCGTATTGAGAAGCTTGATACTCATTTTGAATGACTCTCATCATCATCGTCTTCTGGTTCAAGTTGGTGTATTGAGAAGAAATCCTTCATTGCAAAAGCAAATCCATTCCCATTTCATAAAAGTTTGAAAGTTTGAGAAAAAAAAAAAACAAATGAGCATTATTATTACCTTTTAACATAGAGAGTCCACAGAGGAAGGAGTAAAAGTTCAGAGTGAGAGGAGTGAGATCTGTGTGAGAGATTGATGGGCCTTAGCGAAACAGAAACCTAACTTCTAGAGAGAGAGAGAGAGAGAAAGAGAGGGAGAGATTCCAGGGAAGAGGAAGGACGTAAGTATCCGAGAAGGGGTTGAGGAAACAGATTTGAGTGAAAAGAGAGAAGATCAGGAGAGAAAATGGGTAAGTACTAGGGAAAGAGACTAGAAAGAGAGAGGGGGCAGAGCAGGGGTATTTTTATCCTAAAAAATACACAAAAACATGAAGTGTTTACTAGAGTAATAAGATATTGAATGAGAGTGCTGCTTCGGTCGGGGGCTTAATGTGGAGTGAGTTCACCTTGGGGAATAGTATGTAAATTTTCCATTAATATATATTTGGTAGATTGATGTAAAGTTGCTAGAGAGAGAGTGAGAACGAGTAAATTAGAAATGATTGCAAAGGAAAGTCGTCCTATTAACAAAAGAAAATGAAATCAAGCCAATTAAATTAGAGAATCCAACAACAGCGACCAAGAATAGAGCTTTCTGGGTAGCTGCAATTCAATAAAATTCACAAAAAATTAACTTGAAAGGCCATTATCTAAATTCAAAACCTAAAAAACAAGCAAAGATGAGTAACCATACACCAGAAATCCAACAATAAATGTGATTGTTTTGGTAATCCATAAATTCAACAAAAAAGTTATATGTATCATCACATATAGTCAGCTCAATTTTCATTCCAAATCTTTAAATCACGCTAGAGATTACAACAAATCCTATTAAAAGAGGGAGAAAGAGAGATTGCTTTTTATCCAACTGTGTAATATAGGAAGATTAGGGAAAAGCCTACAATAACAAAGAGAGAAAGATGAATTAATACTTGTGAAATGAATGTAATGGTCAACAAATACTTAAGACATAAAATAGGTTCTTAGTATTTACTTATTTTCGGTAAAATAATGAAAAACCATAATGCAATGCCCAAATTATGTTTGGAAACCTAAGAAACTAGAAGAAATTTTAGCAAGACGGCCAATCCAGGTTTCCAAGACAGCCGATCTGGAGTGCTGATTCGCCAATCCAGACCGGTTTACAAGACGGCCAATCCACTCCACCCATCCAGGTTTTCAAACATTGGTACACTAATGCATACTAATTTCTAGCCTGAAGAAAATTTAAAGGCATCTCATTTTAAGGCCAGGAGACACAGGACAGAACATTGTAGAATGATTCCAAGTTGAAACTATAGCATTGAATGCATATCACACTTGAAATCATAATAAGAAGCACATCAAACTGGTATAAGAAAAGAGAACCTTAGAATGAGGCCATAGTTGATCTGGGGAAATATGCATGGTGCAGCCCTCTTTGCCCGCCTCCCACTCAACAACAAAGCGAGCCATAATTCCAGGCATTGAACCAAGATAACTAAACCACAGACTCATGAGACCAACAGCTTCTATCCTGAATGTCTTCCTCATCTGTTCTGCCACCTTATCTCCAACCTCGCCAACACTTTTGGCACCAACCACTGCTCTACTTTCATTACTTCCTCTGCTTTCATGGGGTCCATCCTCTGCTCTTGCACCCAGCAATTTTCGCATTCCAAGAGCAAATGTCAGAGCATTTGAAAGCCTCTGTAAATCAGCCACCAGTTTTACAATGCTATTTACCTCCACTGTCCTATAACTTAGGACTACTCCATCTGGGTCATATCGTATATGAGAATCAACATCAGAGGTATTTGCAATTCGAACACCGGGGCCCCATTGGGTATTGTTACTTTCCCTTTGAAGCTCCCAAAGGTCCCTAAAATGCTGGTCACTTACTTTGACATCCCAATACATGCTTCCTGGACGACCAAGACGCAAACATATATGTTGCCAAGAATCATTTCCAGACCTTGGCAGGCGAAACCACAAGTTTGAGGATGGTTTTCGTAAACCCACTTCTTCAACATAAGGAATGTCAAGGGCATCCATCTGGCTGGTTAGCCTAGCGTGCTTAATACAGAGGGAACAGTGCCTAACAACATGGAGGAGGACTGTAGCATATATACTGGAAGGTGCTAGCCCATGATTTGCTTCATCCAAGATATCCCCATATGTGAGAACCCTAGTTTTACATATTGATGCCGGCAGAGTAGATGCTTCTGCAATACGAAAAGGAACTATTTCTGATTCTGACATTTTCCTTCTCTTTCGCATTGCTGTAGTAGCCTCTATTTCTTGCAAAGAGGGAACTAATTTAATTATATCAGAAAGGGAACGCTTCCTTTGAGTTTTCTCAGGTTTTTTAACTGCATCCGACATGCTATCAGGAATCCCAGTTTCCGAAGTTTGACCTGAATAAAAACATTAACCAATATTGAAGTAAGAGATCATCATCATCATTTTAGCCTTTTCCCAATTAATTGGGGCCAGCTTATTGAAGTAAGAAATTAAAGATATAATGTAAGGGAAATAGATAGTATTATCCAATGCATTGTGGAAACTGTGATCACCGCGATCATCACAATCAAATGAAAGGACAGTGATGGAGAGAGAGTCGATACTGACTGATGGTTGGTCCTAGCTACTGTCCATCCCTATCCATCATTTAATTTGATGGGCGATGACACTCCAATGGCCTATGGCTATATCATATTCCTTTGAATATTACTTTTTTAAGAATGATTGAACAATTTCATACAAACCCACTCAAACCAATGCCGGCATTTTAAATATGAATCTTACATACGGGAGAGGTAGCCCACACGCTAGACATTGGATTTCTCAAAGGACAACCAATATGCCTAGTAGGTGAACTTCTGAGTAGACCAGTCCTTGAAGATGACGAAAGAACTCGAGGGTCATTTGTTCGAAGTGGGTGAGTAGGCCTATTTCCAGAAACCATCACATGTGCCTCTTCAGAAGACTCATCAATTCCAGAAGCTGAACTTACCTGAACCGGATGTGGAACAGATTTAAGAGAAGTCAGATCCTGATCAGATTTGGAAATAGACAGCCTTTGCATGGATGGACTCCTCACAGTGCCAAAGGGAGAGAGAGAATTGTTCGGACAAGTTTCAAGTAGACCTTTGGAACTATGTGAGGAAAATGATGGATTATTACTAAATTGGGGGCCACTGATGGTAACTTTTGAAATTTTACTGTTCTGAGAAAACTGTGAATTGGCCTCCCATCGAGGAGAGATAAATCCTGCAGTTATTCGTTGATGACTTGTTTGAGGAGAACTAAGATGCGAAAGAGGAGCACTGTCTACCAGCAAAGGGACATGGTTGTTAACGGATAGGTGCTGAGGTAATGATGCTGCCTTCTCAAAATCAAAAACATCGTCAGCAAGAGATGAAAAACAGGATTGGGGGCAACCAGGAAACTGTACAGAAGCATCATTGTTAAGGCTAGAATGCAATCCTGATTCTAAAATTTGATTAGCAGAACCACTTTCTTTTAATGGAGAGAGCAACTTTTTAAGGTCAAGAACACTCAAGTTCACTTCATCTTCAACCATTTGCATCTCCCCAATATCAATCTTATTGATGCGTATCACATGGTTGGCATCGCCAAGCAAGCTGGATTTTCCATTTGGATCTGCTTCTGATTCCAGTAGTGTAAAAAGAGGTTTGAAATCCCTGTCCAGCTGCATCAGCAAATAATAGGAGTTCCCACACTGAGGAAACCCCATAAGCAACAGATCTGATCCATTCATAAGCTCTTTAGGAATCTTGAGTGCAGTACTATCTTGGTCATAGACCTACAACAGATCATTTGTCAGCCCTCAGTTGCTCAAACTGTTTACTCAACATTAGAAAAATTCACATCAGTAAAGAGACCCCAGACATGCACGCACACAAATGCGGTTGCATTTTCTCGGAAAAATATCAGGACAGTACTTAGGACAACTGCAAAGATCATATAGGCAGTCCGGAAACATGAAAAATTTGGGCATTGGTCTGGTATTTAAAATATCGAACAACCATGTGTGAAACCAAAAATAAAATGATCATTTCTAAGAAAATTAAAAGGTCCAAGTGTTGGACTAATATTTCAAATTTCTGGACAATCGCCATGATTTTTGCAGGTGTTCCAGGTGTTCTCCTGATATTTTCCCACTTTCTATGCAAAAATGGAACATTGGACTCAGAGATCAGATAAGAGACCAAACTCATGGTGTATATACGTTAACACAAACAGTTCATATGTACAAGTGACTGTTTCTTACATGTGCATTCATGATGCATATGTACATGCATGTATACATGTACGCGCATAAACATTTCCTAATATAAGCAATACACGAAGGAAGCACTGGGATGATAAGAGAAATGCATCCATATAAATGGACCATCTAAGGGCCTCTTTGAATGGCTTGCTGTATTGGGGTCAAACCAGGTTTCCCCCAATATAACAACACACCCAACAGTAAAAGGAAGATAGCTTTTTATAGCACTTGGATAGATCCTACTATATATAAATCGCCCATAAAGATTCCCACCTTTTTAGGTAAGACTTGGAATTGGGTCTGACCAAATCCCAGGCCACATTCAATCTGCGATGCACATATTACAAATCAATGGAATTCATCCCATCCTGACCTTGTTTGCAGACACACCCTAAAGACGAATTTCCTTGGTTTAATAACTAGGAAATCTTGAACACGTACCAAATGCACATTCATTGATTTGGAACGACATTGGATAACAAGGACATGGGTCGAAACTCGCTGGGGTCCCAATCCTAAGTCACTTTTGACAGCTCAGGTCTGACAGACTCAACTGAGTATGTCAAAGACTCGGCCGAGTCCAGACCAAAATAAAAAACTGAGAAAATAAAATAAAATATAGCGAACAGGCCAAACTCGGCCAATTTGGTACCAAAACCATTAAAAAGAGACCTGATAACTAATTACACACTGCACAGATTATTTGAAATACAGGTTCCCATGTTTAATTCCGGGTTTGGCAGACTGCCAAGCCTGAGAGACCTGAGCAATTCTGATTGGACTCCACCGAGTTTTCCGACGCTGATGTAATAACCAGTCAAATAGCATTAGAAACAGAAGTCAAATCTCAATAAACCCAATATATCATTTAAATCATTCACCTTTAAACCAAAAAATCTTCCAATTGATGAAAACAAGTGCAATAAACTTTTGTTTCGTAAACTTATAAATACTTCAGCTGCTGTCATGGTTCCCTGATTCAATGCTTCTTCACATTCCGCTAATGCCGATGGCACAACCACATTCCTGGATGACTGGAAAAGAAAACGTCCATTCCTGCAATTCAAAAGAAAATATCTAAAACTGCCCAGAATACAGATAGTTTATAATAAACAGTTTAGACAGTAAACAAGATTTCGAGGGCTGGATTGGACAAAAAATCATTGCCAACCCCAACCAAAGCCCCAGTGGACCATAACAAGATCTCAAGGCTCATAAGGGATAAACATTCAGATCTTCATATTAAATACTATTATGCTCATGTAAGAGAAATCAGAAGCAAATATCCTAAGCTTAGCATGTGTTTATTATGGAATGAAAAAATATCAACTCATAGCACATTACGTCATGTTCTTGCATGCAATTCAGTATACAAATGTATCGAGCAGGTTAAAATTCACAAGACTTCAGGATATAAAAAGTTATTTTCCTTTAGTCTGATATGTGAAGATTATATAAGAAAAGTAACAAAAATTAGCACGAGAGAAAGAGAGTAAGGGAGCAGGAAATCCCAAAGTGAGGGGACGGCAAGTTCCACAAAATTCATGTTTAAAACAAAATTTATTTTAAAGATATATATATTCTGCAAAGAAACTAAAAATGAAATACGCTGGATACTATGGAAAAAAGCATAAGAGAAGATTTGCTCAGGAACTTGTATAATAGAGCTACATACATTTTCTTTCCCATTTTCCCTTCCCAGCATACTTAGTCACTTCCTAATGCGTAACATATTTTAAGATTAGCATACATACATCAAATACTTAGAACCAAAAATAGAAGTACTCTTAGAATAGAACATAAAGTATTATGCTGATCACTTCAATATATGATAATTTACCAAAGGAAGAAAAGTGTCTATGAAAATGTGACATCAATAACATGTCAGAGAGAACAGCCAAGAGCAAGCATAGATTATCATCACAAAAGACATATTGATAAACTGAATACAGAACAAGGAATATGCAAACCATCCCTCTGCTTTGACCTGAAGTTCTTGTAATTATGTAATCTATCTTTATTTAATACAATGTTAACATCTTCAAAAAAAACAAGGAAACCTGATATTGATCCCAAGAGATATGTATGATGTACTAAAAGCCCGGACAGATAATGCTTCTTCCCATTGTCCGTCGAAACCCCCAAAGAAACTTTCCTGCAGAAAATAAATGGATATTCATCAGAACAAGACGTGATAACACAAATACCTCGTCAACATTTCAAAAAAAACTGTAATAAAAAACCATGTATGAGTAATATCCAGAGTGCCAGTTGCTTCACTCTCTATATGAAACAGAAGGCAATTTACATGGCATCAGATGCAATATAAGAAACCCAAAAACCTGTCTTCTTTTATCTATATTTCATTTCTTTTGGGAGGGCAAGAAGTGATGAAAAATCACTTTCATGCAATTTGCCAGAAATCTGCAACAAAAATTCCCCGTAAATAGAACAAAATTTCCACCTTTACACTATTTACCAAATGTTAGTAAAAAAACATGTAGACAGTCCAAAGAGTATATTCCATAAATCTACAGCATAATATGTGGTAATACACGTGTTTTTCTAGTTCAGATCATGTAAATTAGCACAATAGGAAAATAAAATCAATAGAGTAATGAATCTTATTACATCAAATAAATTGTTATGAACTTCTGAAGCAGTACTAAACCAGAACCAACCTTCCCTGAAGCTGCTTCACTTTTATCTAGTATGTGGCATCTGAGAACAACATCACCTGCAGCTTGACATATTTGGCTATTACTGCGCAGCTCACGATGAACTTCAAGCAGGCGAGTATGCCTATTGCAGGCAATAACCCTCAACAGCAATTTCTCAACATCAATACAACTCAGATCTAGGGAAAGTTCGGCCTCATTGCCGGTTAATGGGTCAATTATGAATGTGCTATGGGAACACGTTATTTGTTGGTCAGGTCCTCGCTCAATTTTGATAAAAGGAACCGAACCCAAATCAGACCCTCCCATGTTCTTGTCACCTTCCAACCAATACATAAGCTTTATTCCAGGAGTTCTTGATGAAGATGGATCACTGTCCCCATCTTGAGGTAACTGAGTATGAACTCCTTGCCCTGCACTGCCATCTGCTATAACCTCAAAACGTATGGCATCTTTCCACCTGCCTTGTTGTAATGTTTTAAGCTGTCTTATCACAGTGTCCACGACAAGGGCAATGCAAAATTCATGGAGAACCGATTTCAGAATTACAAATGGTTTCTCTGCAGCAGCCATTCTGCGTTCTAGCTCCTCCCCAAGAGCATGCCTTCGCATTTCCTCTAACTTCACAGGCCCATTCTTTTCACCCACAAGTAACTCCAAATGGAGTATCCTCCACATGGATAGATGTCCTCGATAGCCCAGAGTGAGCTGAACCCTGAATTCACCATCTACACTGAACCTTGCAGTGCCCTCTGATACATCAACATGACTAAATTCTTTTTGATCCACCACTTCGAGAAGCCTTGACCACATAAGTGGGTTTAATTTTTCAAAAGCTTCCTTCCTCTCATCTTCAGAAAGCAAGGACAGCAAACCCATGTCTTCTATACACTTCGGTAGGCGCTTATAAGTTCCAGTCTGAAGAATTTCAATAGCAGAGGGCACATCATAGATGGGTGCACGTGCTTGTTGTAGTCCTTCATGGGAGAAGAATAGAGAATCTGCAGCTTGGCTGAAACAAGTATCATGGCTTGACAGAGTTCCTGAAAGTTGCTGACAGTACTGAACCAGGGGATTCTGTAAAAACCAAAAGTTCAGTAATTACTTAAAAAATAAAAAAAGAAAACAGAGAATAGTCTGAAATACAGTACACTTATCAAAGAACAAAACTCATAAATTATTGTAAAAAGAATCTTCAAAGACAATTACTGCAAAAAAGTAAAAACAGAGCAATTTGATGCAAAGTATTTTTAGCAGAAAACTAAAAGAGCATGAAATTAAATGCAGCATAAATTAATGGAAATTGGTAGCAGAAAGAATGGCTATTTCTAGTGCACTCCAAATTCTCTTGCTTTTTCTGATAAGATACTGTATCTGAGATTCTTCCGAGAAATGAAATCCCTTCAAACTAATTATTTTTTTGCAACCCAACATTCGTTCCTCGTCAAATCTAATGACACAATTATGATACTATCAACGAAAGAATTGTAAAGATCACTATGACAAGGTGGAAGTGCAATTTACTGATCTAGTTACTCTTTCATATTATCTACTTCTTTTAATATAAACTTTACTCTTTCAGACTAATCTAGACCTTTGGGATTTTAACAAGAAAAAGAATTTGAGCATTTGAGAGAGAGAGAGAGAGAGAGAGAGAGTAGTGACATCAACAACAACCAGTCATGCTCATCATCACTACTCTTGTCAAAAAAAAAAAGAGGAAAATTCAAATATTCGGGTCTAATGTGTTCAAGCAACTTAGCCAAAGTACAATAAGAATGCGAATTGAGATGATCAGATGAGACATTCTTTCTCACAGAATAACTATAAAATCTTCAAGAATGTAGATTCCTCCACAGTATCTTTCTTTCTTTCTTTTTTTTTTTTTTTTGGGACATGTAGATTCCTCCAAACTATCAACAGACATTAACATAGTTCTTTCAAAGTTCTGAGAGAGAAAAAGAAAAAAAAAACTGCTCAGCAGAGAATTCTACTGTACCCTAGTCCAGCATTCAGTTCTCACTCGAAAATTCCCAATTGATAATCAATGCTGCACTGACTGTATCAAATTTTAACCGCAAAATGGCACTCCAAGATTAGACGAAACATATAGAAATATTCTTATATGAATTCATCGAAGCTCTGATAAAGAAAAATAACGTGTTCAAGCAACTTAGTCAAAGGATAATCAAGCATATGAATTGAGATGCTCAGATGAGACATTCTTTCTCACAGAATAACTACAATATCTTCAGGCATGTAGATTCCTCCACAGTTTCTTTATTTATTTATTTCTTTCTTTCTTTCCTTTTTTTTTTGTTTTTGTGAAAAGTAGATTCCTCCAAACTATCAACAGACATTTACGTAGTTCTTTCAAAGTTCTGAGAAAGAAAAGGAAAAAAAAAACTGCTCAGCAGAGAATTATACTGTACCATCCAGCATTCAGTTCTCACTCGAAAATTCCCAATTGATAGTCAGTGCTACACTGACTGTGTCAAATTTTAACGGCAAAATGACGCCCCAAGATTAGACGAAACATATAGAAATACACTCAACTAAATCCATCGAAGCTCTGATAAAGAAAAATAAGAGAGAGGAAAGACTGCTCAAAAGTATCAACATAGAATTCATTTGGGCCCTAGCTTTAACATTCATTTTTCTTGAGGCCCTAGCTTGAAAATCCCCAACTCTTAGTCAGCAGTCCACTAACCGTATCTAATTTGAACAGCATAATGACACAGCAAGGTTAAATAACGCCCCATGTAGATTCCTCCAAAGTATCAACAAAGAATCAATAATAATAATAATAATAATAATTACCAAGAAGACTAAATTTAACAATTCAAAGTTCTGAAGTTGGAGAAGAAAAAATAAATAAATAAATAAGCTCCTCTCAAAAGATTCAACAGAGACCTAATATATGCATGCCCTAGCTCAAAATTCATTTCTTATTGAGTGCCCAGCTCATCAATACCACTTATTAGCTCAGCAGATACTTCGTATGTGCCCTAGCTCAAAATTCATTTCTCAATGAGTGCCTAGCTCGAAAATAACATTTATTAGTCAACACTATACTAACTGTATCTAGTTTAATAGCATAAAATGGCATAACAAGATTAGATGAATTCCATATCCCACATTAACAATTGCTGAACCAACACATAGAACCAAACTCCCTTCTCTTTTAAAGGCTACCTCCATTCTTTCAAGACCCAAATTATATTGCACTAAAATTCGCAGTCACCAAACACAATGCAAGCCCCGATTTCTCTCTCTCGGGAAAGTTTTGAACCCTAATTTCAGAAACACCAAATCCACAACGCCCAACCTCATAAAATCCCTTACCAATACCTCAAGTGGGTAGAACAGGAAACCGTAACACTGTCAGAAACAACAATTCCAATAATTTCCAAGCAATTTGAATCCAATAAAAGGGCCTCCGAAGCTACAGACCTGGCGGCACCACTTGGCAAGAACATGGAGGCGAAGCATTCGCTGCCTTGTGTTGAGTATATATTTGAGGAGACGTATCTTTTTCTCAGAATCATTCTGGTTTGGTGATTTCTCAACAAGCTCTTTTAGAGAGAGAAACGACTCCTCAGCCGCTCTTCGAACTACGGCTGAGAACTCAACGGTCTGTTGCCCTAAATCAGCCATTTCCGGCAAAGTATTGCTTTCCCGGTGACGGCTCGATTCTATTTGGCCGTAATCATGACGGAAAACAAGAGGAATCGCGGGAAATGAGAGGTGAGGTCAGGGTTCGAAGAATTTGTAGAGAGAGAGGATCTCTGTGGGGTTGGGTTTTCTCGTTGGAGTCGGTTTGCTCTCTCCTCTTTCTCTTTCTGCTCAATGCAGTGAAAGGGACCCTTTTTATAAGGGTTTATTGACTAGGACAACATGCTCTTCCCATTCGATCCCTTTAAAATTTCACCGAAAGAACGGCTGGACCGTATTTGTACAATATGCGGTCAAGAGGTCTAAAGCACCGATTTTAAAGATGGATGCAAATAGGTGGTCCATCTAAATACATTTGTAATTAACTTATTTAAATTTTTTTTTAATATAGTTACTATTTTTAATTTTTTAAATTGTTTTTTTTTTTATAGTCATGATCTTCATGTAATAGATTATATATTCTCTAAAAATTATGATCAATCCGCATCTTTGTTGAAATGCAATAACCCCTTTGTGGCCATTGTTTTTTAGAGCAAGAAAATTTTTGGGTGAAGTTTGTAAAAGGCTACAAACGATCTTCCAAGGTGTTATTTCAATATTAATAATTATTGTGATAACTTAGAAATCTATTTTTATCTGTAAGTATGAGCTTTTTTAAAAAAATTATTTTTTGAGTATGAAATTAAAAATTTCAAAAATAATATTTATATATGTCGAGGTCAAAATGATCAATTGATGAAATTTTTTAGCTCCATAACAACTATTTTAATGATCTTTTGAGGTACACCTTGCTTCTACAGTATGCCATCGACACCTTATATATCTACTATAAAAATCCGGAAATGCCCTCGATGCGTGTAGTGTAATACTCTGTCTACCATGAGGGAATGGGGTGAGTTTTTCAGTTGGGTTCATAAAATCCAGTTCCATGAGAAGGATATTTGGCACCTTCACTCTTTTTCCCAGACACAGGTTTAATAATGTTTTGGAGTCAAGACACCCTAGAGAGTAGGTTTCTGAAATAATCCACCTCTCTCCCCATGTCTCTTTCTCTGTATATCTCCAAGGACAAGATAAATGGGAGAGGTGCAAATGGGTAAAGCCATATGCAAATCGACCCTAGACCCCGACCAACTTATCCGGAATAAAGTCGTACTACTAGGGTTGAGAGTTGAAAAAAGGCTCTAATGATGATAATGCTGAACAAAGACTTTCTAATTGAAAAACATTACAGCCATTGGAAAATACACAAAAGCTTCTTTGATAATCCTTTCCATTTTGGGATTCCTTGCAACTCACCATCGGAGCCTATGAATGGTTAGGCATAAGAAGACTAACCACCAAGCTAGCGCTTTTGAGCAGAGAATGGATCGGATCAGGTCTGGATCCACTAGGATTTGGATTTGGATTCGTAAAGTGTACATAGGATCGATATTCGGATTTGGATCTAGAATATTTGGATCTAGATCCAAAATCAATAAGTACATGAGATTTGGATCGAGGTACAAACCGATCGGATCAATAAAATTATTTTATATTTATGAAATAATATATAACAAAACAAATTCTGTACAACATAGATGTATATATAAAATAATATCTAGCATATTAATAACTAGGTTGGATCCATATCGAATCCACCTATATCTATCCAATCTGAATTACTATTTGGGTCTAAATCTTGGATTCAAATCCGAATCTAGATAGGATCCAAAACTCAGCTTTCGGGTCCAAACCAGGTAAACTCTCAACCCCAAGGGAAAGTATAACTTAAAGGGAAAAGTTTATACAGAGTCAATGCTCTAAACAATCAAATTTGAGCCTACCTCATAAATTTCACTAGAAGAGGTTGTTTTGATGCCCAAATATCTTCAAATTGATCATCTCGACATCAAGAAGTGTAGACATGAAAAAAAATAGATTTCAAGTTTTGAAAATAGTGTATTTTGTAATGCATTTTTGGACCATTAATTTTCAAGATTATAAAGTTATCATAGATATGCCGATCTACATTATTTTTTATGCTTTAACTTTATTAATAAATATGAAAATATATTTTTGAAAAAATTACATAAATATATGTTTTAGTTTCCGCTATTACCAAAATACTTAATACTTTATATTATTACTATTATGTCTGTTTTTTGGACTTCATAACATTTTTTTTTTAAAAAAAAAAAACTACCCATTTTCGGTTTTTCAACAATCGAAATGAGGCCAATTTAAGCTTTTGAAAAACTAAAAATTTAAAATTTTCTATTTTCAAAGAAAAAAATATTTTAAATTTTCATTTTTTTCAAGAGCATAAAATTTCTCTCCTGTGGATCGTCTGCGTATTCTAATGTACGCCCCTCTCTCTCTACCACTACCAAAATCATACAATTTGCTACCATCTCTCCCTCTCTGGTTCATTTAAAAACCTATGCGCCCTAACGAAAGGCATACAATTTGAAAGAAGACAGAAAATATTTGAAAGAAGGAATTAAAGTTAGATTCAATTTGGGAGATCAAACAATTTGAAAGCAAGAATTTGCAGAGAAAAGCGGGAGCCAGAATTTGCAGAGAAAAGCTGAAAGATTGATGGTTTAGCCATGTATGCTCCTTTACACTTGAAAATTTGCTCAAGTGCCCATGATTGTTTAAGAAATGAGATTTCATAACTAAACATTCTACTAGTAAATGAGATTATTATACAGGCGTGATGATTTTGCAAAGGTGGTTTGATGATCTTGTGCCAAAGATGTATGGTTTTCCTATAATATAATACGCAAATTATTTTTGGGCTCGGGCAATTGCTAGTCCAGCCCGGACCTAACTATTTAGGCCTCTTGAATCCGGCTCGAACTCAACATGCAAGCCTTAAAGTGTGGCCCGGACCTGCCCTATTGGCAAAATGACAATCCCCATTTTGATGTGTGAGAAACTAGTGTTCAGGAAATCATGGCCATAAATTTCGTTGTTTGTTTATTACCTTCATTGTTTACCTCTCTTACCGTTATTTTAGAATACAAAGATTATGTTCGATCCATTGGATTACTCAATTTGGGGAACACAAATTTTTATTAGACATTTGCATTACGAGTTGGGTTTTCACTTGAACAGAAATGGAAATATAAATATCTGAAATTCCTTTGAGATCGATCATGCATATTTTTTTTTTTGGGTAATTCAATGAGGAATACAGACGTTTACCCATTTTTTCAAATAATTTAAGAGTTAATTCTTTTTAAGGTGTTAGACTAGTGTGTGTGGTTGGTACCACCATGCCCCAACCCCTTTCTCGATGAAACATATTCCTGTTTTTTAGGTGAGTTAGTGGGGAGAGGGCCTTTACCTTTTGTAGGAGGCCAGGACGTAGCGTTGCAAATCATCAAACGCTAACCAATTAAGCATAGGGTTGCACATTTGAATCCTAATATGTAAAGAAGATAAAAGTAGCATTTCCATAATCACATCTTGGAGTCGACCAAAAGGACCCTTAAATTGAATGCTAATTTGAAACTTCAAAGGAGTTTCAAATACCAAATTTAAGGTACTCAAATAAAAGCAATGGGATGGGAGTGTAAATTGATTCTAGGTTTGAATTTTCACCATTAATCAATTGTTGGGGTGGATATATCTTCAAAAAATGAAAAGAAAAAAGTGAAAGAAATTGAGAAAGGAGATGGCATCTTCTCATTAAAATTCATGATCACAAAGTACCAAACATAATACTATGAATAAAAATTCCCTTAAAAATCTTTGCAACTAATAAACAAAGAAAAAAGAAGCGAATTTTATCCAAACCCACCTAAATGATGAACTACCCAACATTTAGTCACTATTTAAATTTAATTTCAAAGGGTTCATATTCATTTGAGAAATTCTATCGAATGTCACTTAGAATTTATGAGGAGTACTTTTCAATTTTGCCCCTCTTTCCAAATTTAATTACGAGGTAGTTTTTAAGAAAATTATTCGCCGGCATGTCTCTACTTCCATAAACTCAAATGTTAGAGTGCTCTCACATGAGCAAAATGTGCATTAGCTCCATCAAGCAAAGCCCTAGCTGTTGGCGTTGTTAGGGTTTGAAATTTTGGGGACATGACCTACCCATCTTAAAGACCTACCTAGAAAAGAAGAAATCTTTGGCACATACTCTAGAACTTCACGAAAGAAATCAGGCCTAAGGATTGCACTGGTACCATTTAAATCTTCGTGTTCTTGTACTCAAAACATATATATTTTATTATGAAAAAAATTATAAAAAAAACACGGATAATAACCCCAACCTAGGGCTTTTGTGTTTTTATGAAGGTCCGAATTGTTGGAAAGACTTCCACATAATAACCCCAACCTAGGGCTTATGTTATGGCATTGTACACCATTCATCTCTATTATAAAGAGGTCTATTTTCATTTGACTTCGAAATACTCGTACCCATGCTCATCACTTGAAAATTGGAACGGTTACTAAAGAGTAAAATATTAAATAGTTTACAATGTAGGCATATTTGTTACCCTTAAACAAAACAAAAAGTTTACATAAGGTGTCAGTCAACACGGTATGGTGCACCTAAAAAAGCCACTAGAAAAGGTTGTTTTTATGTTAAAAAACTCTCAAATCGATCATCTCGACTTTGAGATTCATAGACATGAAAAAATAGAATTTTTAATCTTAAAAATATTTCGTCTTCTAATACATTATCTAGATTATTCATTTTCAAGATCTTCAAGTGTGTAGGTCTGCTTGATTGGCACTATTTTTATTACTTTAAAATTCATAATTACAAACAACAATAGATTTCCATATTATCCTAAGGCTTTATGACTCGAAAACTTTATTTTCGACATAGTTTTGAGGTACAAGTTGGTACAATAGTATAAGATTAACAGTTTTTTTTTTTTTTTTTTTTAAGAAAAGATTTCGTATGGAACTTCCTTTTGTTTCTGCCACGCCATCCATCTCTCGCTCTATGATCCCGCCATCATCTCTACATTAAAGTTTATATGCTCCCGCGGGTACATATTGGACATTGGCTTTACTAACGCATCTCGCTACAGTCTGGAGCGTGACATGGGCGGGCGCGCACCTGCGCTTCGTGGCGCCTTCTAAAATTTAAATGCTTGCGTTTCTGCTCTCATAATTTTATGGTTTTTGCCTACCAAATGGATTTCCAGGTTTGTTTTCCATGAACTCCTTTATTTGGTTTTGCAGGCCAAACTCTGGGGTTTTACTAGTCTTTGAATAGAATATCAAGTTGGAAACAAGACATTAGGGTTTTCGGTATACAGAAGGTTGGTTCTGCATATCATGGTGAGTTTGTTCTCTGAATTAGCCCTAAAATCTCAATGTTTTATTATGAAGTTAGTTTCAGGTCATTTAATCTGTATTTCTATTCAAAAAGCCCTTTTGAGAACAAAATGTTTGTTCTGATCGATAACCCTAATTCTCAGGTACTGTATTGTACCTATTGCGTGCAAAATTTGTCATTGTTTGCGCTTAGAAGATGTGAAGTAGATCAAAAGGATACGGCCCGGTGATTTTGGCAATGGAGGAGAGGCAAGTGTTCCCGTTCTCCTTTTTGTTTCCTCATGCTGTAAATCCTCTTATTTATTTTAAACCCACCTTTTAGTTAGCATTTGTTCTCATTATTTGTATTTACCTTGTATTTATACTTGAGCCTCTTACTTAGTATTTGTACTTGAGCCTCACCCCTTAAACACCCCAACTTCATTTTGATTTTGGATACTTTTGGCTTGATATGGGGTTGTATCCAGATATTGACATGAATTATTTTACTCTCAGACAAATTAAATTTGTCGATATCTTTTTAGTCTTTATTGCGATTTTAGGTACCTAACTAATATGCCCCAAAAACCTTGGGTGATGGGAACGAGGAAAGTTAGGCCCTTAACCCACATGGGATCGTTACATATTCTGGAATTACTGAATTAGATTTCAACTCGGTTTAATGGAACTCACATTTCGTATCACTATTTACTTTAATTGAATTGTTGGCTTCGATCTAGTTTTCTTCAAAGGGAGCTATTGAATTTAATTCAATTGGTGCATTTGCCTTTCATCTTTATTTTGTTCGAATTGTGAAATGTTATCTTTTACTTTTTTTCCACATGATCAAATTGTTGATGTTAGATTGACTTAATTGGACTGAACCTTTTTGGGGCTTCACTCATGGACATTGGGAGCTATAAACGGCATATTAACATAGAGAACCATGGGTGACGTTGGTTGACAAAGAGTAAGAAATCTTTATGACAAACTTGAGAAGTAACAATATGTTCTGGTTTTGCTATTTAAGACAACAATAAGGTGCAAGGATATGATGTTTAGTTGTTAATCAAGTGTGGAAGCGCTTGATTATGCCCTCTGAGTATCTATCCATTTAACAAAGTTACTTTTTTCTTTCCATTCACAGATCAACACATATCCTGACAAAGAAGCATTTTGATCTGTTTTGTGATTTCATCATTTTTCGTTCTTGTTATTTTTTGGGGGTGGAGGGTTGGAGGACTGGCATTGTAATCCCCTTAGATATTTTGAACAATTATTCTCGATTTATAGTGTGAAGACAAAATATTAGCCTTATCTTTACAAGGGTTTTTTGGTGGCCACTAAGATAAATTGACAATGCAACCTTTAACTTCCCAAGGGAAGTCATACCTTTCTTAAGCATTTCTTAATCAGGAAAGCTTGAATATTTTGTCCACAGAAATTTTGTGACATCCCGATCATGTCCTCAATATTGTTACCACTTTTACTCTTTTAAGTTATAAAAATAAGGGGAGTGATTTCATGCAACGGTTGTATAGTAATATAATGCAACGACCTTCAAAACCCATCTTAGTGCCATTTGTTTGATCCCAATTTTTAAATATACACTCTTTTCATTCCATTGAACAATCACCAAAAAAAAAAAATTCGAAAATGCTCCCTAGAAAGTGTTAGTTTAGCCCATTCAGCATAAGCCGTCCATTTTGTTAAGGTGGTTAGATCTAGGCCTTAGAAGGATTTTTTTTCTTTTCAGATTTTTTAAATAGCTTTGTTATCATTAGATGAACAATGTTGAAAAAGAAAAAAAAAGGCTTTGAGTTCGTAAAGGCCTAGATTTTGAAATTGATCAAATGGATGGTCTAGATTCATTATTGGAGGAGACTCATTTTAACCATATCTATGATGCAAATTCAATTTTTTTTTTTTTGGAAATTGACTATTGGGATGAAGAGATGGTATATGCAATTTTTGGGGTGATACAAATACTACAAACATGGTTGTTTAGAAGTGTGGTTGCATTATATTATTATACAATCGTTGCATGAAAACATTCCCCTAAAAATAAACACGTAACTGATAAAAAAAAAAAAAAAATAGAAGAAGAAGAAGAAGAACAGCTTAACGAAGTTTAAGAATTTGGTCAATAGAGTAATATTGAACCGAGACCTTCGAACCAACTGAGCTTTTATCTGCAGTGCCTTATGAGGTCTAAGCATCACCTTTTTCTATGTGACTATGTGTTTCTTCTCCAGGTTGAATTTCCAGTACAAAATCCTCTTTTAAAAGTTATTGTTTATTTCTTACTTAAATGCTTGAGGATTTGTTGATGTCTTTGGGAATTGAGTCTTTGGGAATTGAGTCTTCATGAATCCTTGTTCTATGATTGTCCATTGCTTTAGTGGTAAGAATGAGTGTACACCTCCTCATGGATGAAGCCTGCACAAGGTTAACTGATGTAATTTATGGGGTGAAGAGTGGTCATTAGCTGTACATTCAGGTTGATCTAAAATTTAGATGCGTGCACACAGACATTGGAATCATCTATAGAATTGTCAATGAATTTTAGTGTGTATGTATGTGTGTGTGTGTGTTATATATATATATATATATATATATATATATGAACGAGACACACGAGGAGTAG